TATACTTTACAAATGAACTGAAAAATGTGTAAGTGCATTGTCAAAAAATGTAAACATAATTTTAAAAAAATAAAAGTCTTCATAAGTGCTCCAACAAATATACTAAAAGCTCAAACATAAAGTATGAGAATGTTGTGTGGCATTAAAAACCAAACTAAGATTTTTTATTTGAATTGAAATTCTTGCATGTGCTCCAACAACTAAACTAAATGCTTGAATACAAAGTCTAAGAATATTCCGAGCGGTTAAAAGAAAAATGAATAAAATTCTCTTTTTTCAAATTAGGATCCCCGCATGTGCTCCAACAAAGATGCTAAATGCTCGAACATAAGGTCCAAGAATGCTGCACTGGATTAAAAGCAAGCTGAACTAAAATCTTTTTTTTTTCTATAATTGAAATGTTTGTATATGATTTGACAATTCACAAATCCTTTGTTTTTAAATTTTTTAGAATAATGTCTGAGAATTTTTGCGGATAAGAATAAATTGAATTGAGCTCTTCTCATCTTAAAAGGTGTGTAGTCCCTCTACAAAGCATGTAGTCATTTTAAAAATCACAATTTTTTTCTGAGCTTAAGCATACATGCATGTGCTTTGATCGATATATTAAACTCCTAATTGTCAGGTTTGTGTTTGTTGCACTGACTAAAAATAAAATATGCTTAAATTTGACTTGATCATCTACAAGCATATTGGCAGAGTTGATAAGATATAAAAGAACAAATATGAAAAATTTCAAGAACTTTGTTGATAGTCGTATGTTACGCAACAAAATAAACCGACCCCGCCTGGGCCGATTCGGACCTATAGGAGGCGGCAGCCGCCTCCTTTGTTTTAAGTGGGCGGGTCCCTCTTCTTTGGGTGGGATTTTGAGAGAGAGGAGGGGGGCGGTTCATGCAAGAGAGGGATTTAAAATATTTTATATTAGGAAGCTTTTAAATAGGAAGGAGATATTTAAGGAGGATGAGAGGCTAGGGTTAAGGAGGCTTGTATTGTTTTGTTCTTGGGAGAGTTCCTTGGCGTCTTGGGCTCTAGATCTACAATCTAGAGATTGGGAGAGACGATCCTCCTCTCGAATTGAGGATCAATTGTATCCTGCTTGAGTCCTCTTGAATTGAGGATCAATTGTATCTTGCTTGAGTTGCACTTTGTTTTGTTTTTCTTCTATTGCAATCTATCTTTTCTAGTTTGATTTGCCCTCGTTTATGGTTTCTTCTCGATGTTTTGAGCCAAGTATTGCTAGGGTTGCTTGCGAACTCAAGTAAATTTGTAGGATTACTTGCGAATTCAAATATTTCCTATCATCGTATTGAACAGAAGCTCAACGGGAGGCGTCCATTTTTAAAATGAAATTTTTATGTTGTAAATATAAATACTTCAAGTGACTTCAATGTCACCTTAATGATGGTCTCATGTTGAAAGAAAATCTCAACTGGATGGGTCTATACTTAAAATCACAATTTAATGTTGCAATTATAAAAATTTTAAGTGATTTTAATATCATCCTTACGATGATCCGTTGAAATAAAATCTCAACTAGAGCGATTCATTTTCAACATCAAAATTTTATGTTGCAAATATAAATACTTCAAGTGACTTCAATGTCACTTCGATGATTGACGCAGTTAAAGAAAACCTCAAACGGATGGAGCCATCCTCAAAATCAAATTTTTATATTGCTAATATAAATATTTCAAGTGACTTCAATGTCACTTTAATAATTGCCGCGTTGAAAGAAAATCTCAATAAGTGAGGTCATTTTTTGAAATCAAAATTTATATTGCAAATATAAATACTTATAGTGATTTCAATGCAAATATAAAATTTATATTGATAATGGTTATGTTAAAAATAAATTTTAATTTGAGGGTACCATATATCTGAAAAATGCCACTAAATCCCAATGCAGATCATTTTGGGGCCGCACCTAGATAAATATGTAAGTTTAATAAAATTATAAAAAAATATTTTAAAATATTTCAAGTGAAATTTTTTAAAGTCATATGAGGCCCGATCCTTTGCAGATAATTTAATAGAGTCGAGAAGGTTGAAGATAATAAAATTAAAATATTTAGGTGCCTTGATGATAGTTGTATTAAAAGTTAAACTTAACCGAAGAGGACTCAATTTATAAAAATGCTCTCAAATTTCAAAGTAAACTAATGTGGGGTTTCAATTTCTATCAAAATATAAAAAAATCAATAAAAAAGATTATATTTAATTGAAATGAACTGCCTATAAAAGTTAATGCAAAATTCGTCCCCCTTTTACAAATGTTTGTTTAGGGTGATGAATTTGAGAATGACTTCAGCTTATAAAAGTAAATATTTTATTGAGTGTTTTGCTATGATTTATCCTCAAACAACCTTTTGCCAGTAAGGACGTATTATGTTTCGAAGATGATAAAATTAAAATGTTTAAATACCTTGATGATGGCTGTATTAAAAGTGATTCTCAACGAGAAGGGGATTTATTTATAAAATCCTCCTAAATTTTAAAATAAACTAGTATTGGGTGTAAAATTCTAGAAAAACATATAAAAATATATAATTAAAAAAGACAATATTCGATTAAAAAAGACAATATTTAATTAAAATCAACAACCCACAAAATATAAAGCAAAATCATTCACCTCCGCAATCGTATATCTAGGGTGATAAATTTGAGAATAGCCTTAGCTCACAAAGAGCAAAATCCTTATTAATTGTATCACTATTGTTCATTTTTAAATACTTTCATACTAGTAAGGACATGACATGTGTTCTCTAATCGATAGCTTTTTCAGTAAATGATAGCACAAGTTAATATTTTTGATAGGAGCTCTTTGACTGGATGATTTTGCCGCAAAATAGCTCCATTAAATTATGGTCATGACTGAGACATGACGGAGACCCGTACGTTTTCTACTAATTAAAAACTATTGAGTAATGAATTATACGATATACTTAATAGGATACAAAATCCTTTGTTAGCTAAGGTTGACTTGTATTTCTCCTTAGATAAATATCTATTCTAAGTCTACAAGGTATCATTGGATGAAACAAGCTTGGTTGCCAACAAGGATTCTTCAGCAGGCTGGGTTGTGTTGGATCCAAATTTCTCTATAAACAACACCCGACCTTAACATGTGAACTTTGTGAGGGTTAAATTGGAACATGTGTGGAAAATTCTATAAAGAAATACTGTAGGAGCTCAAAATCTCACTCAGTTAAAAGATGTAAAAGGTACAAAAAATGTAAAAAGATATGAGGATGTAAATATCTAAAATGCTCATTTCCACCCCTTATTTATAGGGATTTAAGGGCAATAGGAAATATTGCATCAATAGAATAAAAAAAATATCAACTTAATGACTCTTAGTAAAGTACAAACTGCCCTAGGCAAGTGTCATTCTATAATTGGCTTGAGTGGGCGGTGTTGAATGGCTCTTGATGATCTGCCTCTGCGGCGAGTTTAGTAGTGCCGAGTATACTCTGACGAGTATGCTTGGGCAAGTGCTGAGATGAGGGGATCTATGACAAAAAGGCTAGCTGAGGTTGTCAGTGGCTTGTGTTAAAGGCCTTTGATCACCTTGGAAGAGAGAAGCGAGTGAGTTGTAGTTGCGGGAAAGAGAGATCTGGGTTAGATGGCAACGATATGACTAGCTAAGGGCCTCGTGAGTGAACACTCTCCTATAGTTGAGCTAAGTGTGTATCAGTGAGGATGTCGCTCTAGGAAAGAGTGAGTGATTGCTTGGTTAATGAACTTGAATTGTTCCCCTATAAGGGATGATTTCCGTTGGTAAGTGTGGGCGAGTAGCACTTGTTGATCTTTTGGGCGAGTGCTCCTATGCATTTTGAATGAGTGGCTCCCCTTGATCGGCGGGTGAGACCCCTTGTGGACCCAATGGGGGTGAGTTTCTTCATCGTGACCCGACGATTACCTGAAAGGTCTTAGTGAAGGTATATGCAAGTACACAAGTTTATTATCTCATATGAATAAATATATTAGAGACCATGACAATCTGGAACAATCAACCCATGTGATCTTGATTAGGTTCATCATCATTCTCCCGACCATCCAGTTTAATTTCATGGTGGTAAAATTCAATCCATATACCATAAATGGTATTGTTATATGCTAAGCGCTTAGTGCATATTTAACAACTAGTCTTAACCACATAGGCTTTATGTTTATGAGAAACCTAGAACTAGATCATAGAGTCTTCACAAAATAAGAATGAAATCTCTGGGTGGTGTTTTGTCTTCAAACTTAATTTGCATTTCAAAAATTTGACAAAAAAAATCATGAAACAATCCCAGCGAGCGGTTGAGCATGAATTTAGAGCCCACAAATTTTTTATGATTGATGGGAAAATTTCGTCTTTTCATCTTTGGCTAATCATTCTTGTGCTATAGTAGCAATTAAATAATAATAAAGTTAAAATTTAGAATTATTCCTAAAATAACATCCCTACAAATTTTAAGTATGACTCTAAATACTTATTATCATCACATGAAGCATGCTCTGCCATTAGTTGTGAAATTGTAATAATATGCATTTAGAAATATAATAGGAAAATTTTTGACATCAAAGAGGAAGTTGCATTATTGCTAGAAATTGGTATTCTAAACTGACTAGGCCTTGAAATGGTAATGGTCATATTTAGATGAAAAAATGGTGTAGAGTAAAGCTTTTGAGATTTGGTTATACATTTAACGTGCCATATTTCAGAGCTTTTAATTTTGTTTAATCCTCTTCCAAGTATTTTAATCATACTTCTGATTTGTAAGCTTTTTCATTTTTTGTTTATTTTAAACTATTACGGCTAGTTGTCCTTGATTTTGTTAATCATTATCTGTTGTAATGGAAGTTTCGAAGCATTTGTTGTAATGAAAGTTTCAAAAAATGTTATCATTTATGTACCATTCATTTGTTTATTGTAATTCCTGATGATTTTAATTCCCAATGATTTAATGTATCTTTTATAAACCATGTTCTCTTGGGTTATCTTGTTGCAGAGAGTGTTGTAGTTGTCAGCAATAGCACATCAATAAATGGTACAGTAACAAATGTAACTTCAACCACTGTATCAACTCCAAGCTTGCATGATCTACAACTCTATGGGGTGGTTGTGACCATTCTACTTTGCTTTATTGTATTTGGTGGTGTGAAAATTATCAACAAGGTTGCCCCGGCTTTCCTTGTCGCTGTCCTATTTTCATTGTTCTGCATATTTGTTGGGACTTTTGTAGCTCCAAGACATAATGCTTCAAGTGAGTTATCTCTTCATTGATGGAAATTATATCTGTACCGTTTGTTTTTGGTTCAGTTATCTTAGTATTTCCATTTTTATGGAACAAAATCTCATCTCACGTCTTTATTTTTGACTGATCGAGCCTGTTTCTTAATGTTCTTGTGTACAACAATGGTTACAATTTCTTTAATAGGTGGGATAACTGGAGTGAAATCAAAGACATTTAGAGATAACTGGAGTTCAGATTACCAGCGTACAACTAATGCTGGGGTTCCTGACCCGAACGGGTCTATTTATTGGAACTTTAAGTGAGTAACTGCCCTTTTTTATAAGTTTGCCAAACTATCTTTATTTGTTCTTTGGTAATTGTTTTTTGGGTTGTTATGGCCTTACATCTTATTGGTCATTCTTTTTTTTTAGAAGGTATATTTGATCTTCGAATTCGTTGGCTTCATTTAGATTGTAGAGTTTTAGCTTTAAGTTATTTCTGGGAGAGTGAGGTTTGATGTTCTCTAGATGGTCAGTTATGAAGCTAGTTCTGAGCAATTAAATGTAGACTTATTTGAAAATTCAGCGAATATTCTTTGCTTCATTAAAGCTTTAAGTGATTTTAAGGCATTTTGATATTTTCTATAGAGCCTCCAGATATGACCATTACTAAAGTTTCCTTTGATGTTTTTGCTTTATGCAATTCATGATTACTTTTTAAAATCACATTTAGTATGATATTTTATTAATTGTAGTAGTCCTATCTTCACATTTGTGTATAACATTATGATGTAACTAGCATTTCTACGTAATTTATTTTGATATTTAATCATGTTTTTTTTTTTTTTTATTATTTTTATTTTATGGATGGTTTGGTTCTTTTGTTGTGATCACTTGCTTTTCTTTAACATTTTTTCCTATTAAATGAGGCATTATTTGTACTATATCCTTTAAATGAAAATCAGCTTGTTATATGGCTGAGAATTAGATCTTGGCTTGGTTGCTTCTGATGATTAATGTTGGTTTGATTACTGAGTTCTGCAGTTGGTGAGTACATACTAAGTTACAAATCTACATCGATTCATTTTGAATCTATGTTATCTACTTTTTAGTTTTATCCAATTTCACTACTTTGTGAGCAAGTTGGTTCTTGCCATCTTGTGAATCTTTGAAGATTGATAAAAGAAAGCCAAAGGACCACAAAACCACAATTGCGAACATAAGCTTTTGTATCTAGTATTTGTTGTATAAGAGGTAGACTGATGCAGGACTACGAAAATGAAATGTTCTTTAACTCACATGGATTTTGCACAACTCATGATTAGAATAATTCTAGAACAAAGTTACTAGCAAATTCAAACAATGAATCAAAACGATTAGTGGTTATCCGCTTAGGCTTAAATCACATGTTGAGAGCTTTGAAAACTTCCAAAATAATTTTGCAAACAACGCAATGAATAGTAATAGCTTTCAAAATAATCCCTAGTCTAACAATGAGAATTAGAAAGCATAGAGGTGCACTCAAATCCTACGTTTACTAAGCTTAAGCAAGAGCAAAGCGGAGGAGTCCGTCATGACTGCGATCTAATCAAGAGAAGTTAGACTAAATGATAAAAGATGCAATGGAGAAGAGGAACCTTCGTCAAGGAGAGTAGTGGAGATCCTCCACTCTACGCCTTCGAAGTGTTCGTCGATAGCTTCCACCAAGGTATCTAGAATCCGCTCCAAGTAGTCTTCGACGGTGTGGTTGATCCTTGGGTTCACGTTGAAGAAGATTGATCGTAGGATGTTGGTGAAACCATCTTCGTCCGAAGTTAAACCATACTCAGTCTCCGGATCCGCCATTCATGGATGATTGAAGGTAGAATCTCTTTAGCAATTGATACAACTCTCGAATAGTGGCAAGAACGAACTCCACGTGTCCTCAAAAAAAATCTGAAATAGTTCCTTCAAGAACTCTGAAATATTTTCAGATTTATTTCAGAATTCTGAGAGGAATTTCAGCTTTCAGTGTTTGGAGGGAAAGAACTAGAAGGAGCAAGAGTTATGGAATCAAACCCAGTAGGGAAATAAAGGTAGAGAGGAGATTTGAAAGAGAGAGGGGAGAAGGTGGGCGGCGGGATAATAGGGAGCTGAGGGATTTCTATTCCCTAAATCAGTGATTTGATTTGGGAAATAGAATAGGAAATAAGGCTTAGGAAATTCGGCTATGGAGCTAGGAGTTTGGAAATATTTCCAAAGGTGGGGATAGGAAATAGGAAAGAAATTTCAATCCCAAATCCAAGGGAGTGGAGGCCGGCGGTATGGGTGTCCAAGGGGGCAATTAATGAGAGGGATTAGGGGTTTCTTAATTGGGATTATTAAAGAGGAAAGTTTTTAATTAAATCCAATTCAAATTTAAAATTCAAATAGGTTTAATTCAGGAACTTTTCAAAAATAGATTTGGTATTTTAGGAAAGTTTTCAAATTAAATGAATTTGAATTCAAAATTATGTCCCAAAATATCCAATTCCAATTTAGGCAATGAAAAGCATTGGGGTGGGGGTTCTAGAGTTGGCGGGTGGATGGGTTCGGGTATAGGGGTGGACCGTGAGGTGGAGAGGGGAGAGAGGTTTCGGGTGGAGGTGGGAATCCGGTGGCTAAGGGATAAAGGAGGGGGAAAGACAGAGGGACAACAGAAGAAGGAGATGAGATAAATGAAGAAAATCACGAACCCGACTTTTCTAGGTTGGTGGGTATTGCGCCAATCTTCTTCCTCTCCTAGGAAGCTCTCCCCATTAGAACTCTCAAGCTCTCACCACTCATGCAAGAAGAAAATTTCAACAAGCAATCATTCATTCATTCATTCATTACCCCATAACATGAAAGAAGAGGCTATAAATAGCCAACTACAATGACTCAATGAAATAAAAGACACTCTTGCCCTTTGGGCTTACATACGACGCTTCCCATTAAAGGGGTACAAACAGAAAACATAAAGACACTTAATAAATAAAATGCATGAATAATAAAATAACACAAATGACTCAAAAATACAAAGACTCGATCGTGGCCGTAGATCGGCGGCCACGTCTCTGATAAATCTTCCACGATCTGATGTCCCCATCATAGACACCTATCCTAAAGGTCTTTATGTAGTCCATCAGTATCAGTCATTTCCCTATGGCTTCTCTAGGGAGGCATCATTGTTTGGCTATCTTTTTCAGTCACTCTCTGCTTGTTTTTTTTTTTGTTATTTGAACTTAGGTCTTACTTCACTCACTACCGAGCAAGAGCTTCAAACTTAAGGCTCTTTGAAAATCCTGTGCTAGGATTTTTCTGTTACCGGTACTATTTGCTGAAAGATTTTTGGACAATTTTCTGGTCACTGATTCATGTCGGCATGGTTTTGTTTGCTGATAACTATTATATTAAATCTTGGAAACTTGAATATCAAGTTCATTTCTACTATCTCCGTTTAATAATGATTAAATTTCCATTAACTCAGCTAGTTATATACTTACGGTTTTATCTTTTATAGCACGCAATGACAGTTTGATGTTAACTCGATTTCATGCCACTGAAATACACTGTAAATTGATTAATTTATGGCTTATTACTGGTATTAATTTCATAATGTTTACGTGAACTAATTATTATGAACTAAACTAAACAGAGATTGGATTTTAGTTAGCATGGTGAAAGGTTCAGTATAGAAAGTATCTTTCTAATTGCTTTCTAACATTATATTTTTTTCTTTTTGCTCCAGCGCATTAGTTGGTCTCTTTTTTCCTGCAGTGACGGGAATCATGGCAGGGTCGAATCGTTCTGCATCTTTGAAAGATACACAGCGCTCCATACCAATTGGAACATTGGCCGCTACGCTTACAACAACGTTTATGTATTTGGTATCAGTGTTATTATTTGGAGCATTAGCCACTAGAGAAGAGCTTTTGACAAACAGGTATCTGCCAATTATTCATGAAACATTTTTTAAGGGCTATTTAGTTAGTAGCATTAGGAGTGTTGCATTTCATTTCTCTGCATTTTTAGATTTTTCGTGTTTGATTTGAAGCAAAATAAATCCAAAATAAAATTTTGAGGGATTTTAAGTACTCCAAAATCCTTATTTCTCTTGCATTAAAAAATTGCCCGAATCAACCAATTTTCAAATTCTGATCCATGTCACTAGCTGGCATTGCCTTGCCCTTATATTTCGTTGCTTGGGCCTGTGGGTTCTAAAAAATCGCGCTCCGCTCTTCTATGAGAGTCAGTCATGTTTGAAGTTGAATTGTCATAAGACAAATTGGATATCAAATAAGATACTACCTATGGATTATATCTTCATTTTATTAGAGTTGTAAAATGTTGGCCATTAAAAGAGAAGCATAATATTAAGTTAAGTTTTGCAGAGATGAGGATGCTTAGGTGGATGAGTGGCTTTACTCGTAGAGATAGGATCTGAAATGAGCATATACGTGAAAAGGCTGGAGTAGCTCCAGTGGAAGATAAAATTAGAGAGAGTCGCCTAAAATGATTTGGTCACATAAAACAACGGCCTTTTGATGACCTAATTAGGAAAGTAGATGTATTAGATTTGACTTATGTTAAGAAGACTTGGTTAGAAAATATTAACAAGAAATGAGAATTTAACTTTTAATAGAACATAATGAATAAAAATGATTCATGTAGCCGACCTTACAGTGGGATAAAAAGGCTTGATGTTGTTGTTGTTGTATCTTCTAATAAGCAAAGCTTTCATTGGCTATGATTCTTGTTTGGACATGAAAATCTAATGGTTTGTTTTCTTTCAAACTTTTCATTGCCTGTTCATGATTTAATAAGGTTTATAATAGACACTTCAAAAAAATATCACGCCCATATTTTTTTATTAATTATATTAGCATTATTTTAAGCTTCGTCATTTTTGTGTATAGTATTTGCTCTACTTTTTTGCAATATTGTATTATAAAAATTTGAGAACTATCCTTTTTTAGGCGAATCTTCATTTCGTGTTACTTGCAAATTTCCAATAGAGTCGACTTGGTTGGCTTTGACAGTAAGCTATTATATTTGTAAACTTAAGCAATTCAAATCAAATTATGTGTTTTAAACAATGACTTACGATGTAGATAGAATTTAATATTCAAACTTATATTTAATATGCTTCATTTTCTACAAAGTTTGTGTTGAGATGTTTTCCATTGCTCTAATTTTGAAGAACTATGATTTCTTGCAGGCTTCTTACTGCTGAAGTTGCTTGGCCTGTTCCGGCAATTGTGTATGTTGGGATCATTCTCTCAACTTTAGGTGCTGCATTGCAGAGTTTGACGGGTGCTCCACGTTTGCTGGCTGCCATAGCTAATGATGATATTCTTCCTGTTCTTAAATATTTCAAAGTTTCAGAAGGCGGAGAACCACATCTTGCTACTCTGTTTACAGCCTTCATATGCATTGGGTGTGTCGTGATTGGAAACCTTGATCTAATCACACCGACTATAACTATGTTTTTCCTTCTATGTTATGCGGGTGTAAATTTATCTTGTTTCCTTCTAGACCTTCTTGATGCCCCTAGTTGGCGGCCCCGATGGAGATTTCACCATTGGAGTCTCTCGCTTATTGGCGCCTTGATCTGCATAGGTATGCTCTTAAGTTGATATCATTTTCTTGCATCTGTATGAATATTTTGTAAATCTGCGGTATGCTAGATAACCAGATGACCAGTGTTTCCGTTTTTCCCATTTTTAATATGCTGAAAACTATTATGGCTTTCTAAATGAGTGCATTGAATTTCTTTAGTGGGTGTATATAAATTGTATTAAGGAGAAATGATTAAAATGATCCATAAATTTTTCAGGTATGTTTGCTTTAATGCCATGCTTTTTTTAGATGGTCAATTTTGTCACTCTCAACTTACTAAATCTGAATAAAAAATGGTCTTACAATCAACTTTAACATTTCTTTGGTGAAAATTGATGGAGAGAAGCTTTTTAGGAGGACATTTTAAAATTTTTAGGATCAATCTCACTATTTAATATCAGCTTAAACTAATGAGGTTGACTTTAAAATGACTGAAATGCCCACATGAAATGCTTGCTTCCTATTTTTATCAAAAGAAATGATAAATTTTAAGGTAGGACCAAATTAATTCAGATTTAGTGAGTTGAGGTACTAAGGGGCTGTTTGGTTTGAAGTAAAAGATATGTAAAGTATTCCATATGCAGTGTTTGGAGAATATTGGTATTTGGTTTGACGTAAACTAAATGTAATGTAAAATTTTGGTGTATTTAGAATTTACCTTTTAGTTCATTTTTTGTGTATTTGGAATTCCTCCGATTTGAGTGATTTCTAGTTAACATTGAAACTTCACTGCCCGCTGACGCCACCCACCACCACTGCAGATTGTCACCACAGTTGACCGCCCCCTGGCGGCCTCCGTTGCTGGTTGCCACCGCCATTGACCACTACCCTATCTTTGGACTTTCATTTTACTTCTAGTCAAACAAAAAATATAATTCCATATGTTTATTTTACATTCATCCAAATAACTCCAAAGTATTTCAAATATATTGCATTACTTTTACACAATCCTCTTCAGTCAACCAAACAACCCCTAAATTGAAAATTTGGAAAAGCATTAAAAGTCTATTTGGTGCAACAACAACTTTTTATAAATGTGGTTTTAAAGTTGAGGTGAATGTAACATTTTTTAAAATTATTGTAGGTATTGTATCTTTTTGAGAAATCGGACCGCTTCTTTTGTACTACTCTTGCATATTAATAGATCTAGTTGGAAAAAAGCAGCTTTTCATTACAAAAATTTCTGAAAAAATAATAAATAGCAAGAAAACAATTGTAAAATGAAAATGTGGTTGTAATCTAAAAAGCAAAGTAGTAAGAAAGTTGGCCCAAATAGAGCCTAAAGTAGACAAATTTAAAGTCTTGGGACTGGTTAGATCATTTTCTCTTATATTAAATATTGGTAGAGTCACACCTGATTTAGTTTTGTGCAGACTCCCATTTGCAAATAAAGTTTAGGGGAAATCAAACACTGGTTGAAGTAATAGAACTACTAAATTTAGATATTGTACCTGTAATCTATCTACTAGTTGAATTAATTATTTTTCTGTCTGAATCTTTATATATGCATCAAGCTTATGTAAGTATGATTCAAATGTTGGACATCACATGTTTTATGCATTAAGAAAGCATGCGGCATTTTAATTAAAATGAGTCACTACATAAGAGCTTCACTAGTCAAGCGATAGATATGATTGAGTCCAGCTTGTGATTTTCTTTTAACTAAATATAATCTGGCTTTCTACATGAAATTTGATTTTGACTGGTTTTGTGCCTTGTCTGTACTTGACCTCTCATGCCTATATATTTGTAACTAGTCTTGTGCATTGTGCTCTATTGTTAACTAATAAAATATTTTTGGGTAGATTTCTACCATTTTATATTTTAAAAAAAATGTGTATTATTCATTCAAAGGATGGGGTATGTACTTTTTGAGATGAAGTAGAACGTTATGCACTTATTGATTGATTTGCTGGTGGTACCCATACCCAAATGAGCAACTAATAACCAAAGTTGCTCATTAAAAACACTCAGTAGTAAGTTACAATAGGTACAATGGTGCATGCTAATACTATTTTAAAATTATACTGGTGCTCTTTCTAAACATCTCTGCCTCAAATAGGCCTTGTTGTTTTATTCAATGTTGCTGATGGTAAAACTCTTTTATGTTTGTTTAATATCTGATGAAGCTTTTCTCTTTGGTTACAGTGATCATGTTCTTAATCTCATGGTCTTTTACTGTGGTATCGCTAGCTCTTGCTAGCCTCATATATTATTATGTTAGCATTAAAGGGAAGGCCGGCGACTGGGGTGATGGATTTAAGAGTGCATATTTTCAGTTAGCTTTACGAAGTCTTCGTTCTCTAGGCGGTAAGTTATTTCTTTTTTTAAACCCTAAACAATTAGGAGAATCTTCTGGATCATATTCAGTTGCACATCAAAATGGCAATGCATTCTATGAGTTTTTTGTTATTTAGTACAACTAAAATGCTGCATCTTAATATTGCAAACACCGTTGATTCACTCTCACGTCATTATTGCAGCAAATCAGGTACATCCAAAAAATTGGTACCCAATCCCCCTGGTCTTCTGCCGTCCATGGGGCAAGCTTCCAGAAAACGTTCCTTGTCATCCCAAGCTTGCAGACTTCGCCAATTGTATGAAGAAGAAAGGTCGTGGCATGTCCATGTTTGTATCTATCATTGACGGCGACTATCAAGAATTGGCAGAAGATGCTAAGATTGCTTGTCGTCAGCTCAGCACATATATCGACTACAAGAACTGCGAAGGTGTAGCTGAGATTGTGGTGGCACCAACAATGGCTGATGGATTCCGCGGCATTGTACAGACCATGGGCCTCGGCAATCTCAAACCAAATATTGTTGTCATGAGATACCCGGAGATTTGGCGCCGCGAGAACCTGACCCAGATACCTTCCACCTTTGTTAGCATCATTAATGACTGCATTATTGCGAACAAGGCGGTCGTAATTGTCAAGGGTCTTGATGAGTGGCCTGGTGAGTACCAGAGACAGTATGGAACCATTGACCTCTATTGGATTGTAAGGGATGGTGGCCTCATGCTCCTATTATCTCAGCTCCTGCTTACTAAAGAGAGCTTTGACAGCTGCAAGATCCAGGTCTTCTGCATAGCTGAAGAAGATGCCGAGGCCGAGGAACTGAAGGCTGATGTCAAGAAATTCCTGTATGATCTTAGGCTGCAAGCCGAGGTTATTGTCATCACAATCAAATCATGGGAGGCTCATTTGAAGAGCGGGCATCAGCAGGACGAGTCCATGGAAGCATTCAGTAGTGCACAACAGCGCATTGGTGCTTATCTGGAGGAAATGAAGGAAACATCTCATAGAGAAGGGACTCCATTGATGGCAGATGGAAAGCAAGTTGTGGTGAATGAGCAGCAGGTTGATAAGTTTCTTTACACAACACTCGAATTGAATTCAACAATACTAAGATACTCGAGGATGGCCGCCGTAGTACTGGTAAGTCTCCCACCACCCCCTTTAAGCCATCCATCATATTTTTACATGGAGTATATGGATCTGCTTGTTGAGAATGTGCCAAGGATGTTGATAGTTAGGGGATATAGAAGAGATGTTGTCACTCTGTTCACATGACATCTAGACTTCAAAACACATTTCCTTGCGTTTTAATTTGTCTATTGCTTTTGATTGCTAGACACATCATAAGTTGAATTCATTCTTTATATTGCTCTCGAAGTAAAGGTAAATTTTTGTACAATAGTTTGTAGTGGGTCTCCTAGATGCAGGATAATCCTTTCTGTATTAGCCTGTTTGTTCGTTAAAGCACCATTTGTTGAGAAGTTCTCATTATGAAAGATATATTCGAAAAAAAATATATGTATTTAGAAGAGGGAAAAAAGGATTCGTGCACAGAGAAAACATTCAAACAATTTTTATATCTGAGATTGATTCATTCGGTCATGCGAGCATGTATCCCAAAAAGTTCATGACTCAAGTGTGTTCTATGCAGATCCACAGCATCATCGTAGTCGTGCTTTATTGATATGTATTGAATGTTTTTCATGTATGGTGAGATTATCATACCATTTTCGTGGTTGTAATGTTTTTCTAACAAAAAATATTTGGGACAGGTAATGTCTTGGGTCTTATATGTTATTGGATTATGTGGATAGATTAGTATGTGTTCAGTCAAAGCTTGGCCTGAAAGTTGCCCTTAGCAATCCACTCACTCCAACTTGAATATTTTTCTCTTTCTTTTTTCAACCTGTTCTCTTTTCTACTCATTACCTCTTGTTTCCCCCTCGAGTATATATTCAAGTTTTTCTTCTTTTCAAATTTCTGTGTGGAGTTCGAATGTAGAGTATTTTCTATATTTGTAAATACGAAATAAATAAACAACAAATCTTCACAATTAATTATTTACTGCTTATTTATTGTATATCTATAAATACGTAGTATATTCGCAATAAATATACAGAGCGCATGCAAAGCTTACGCATAACATATACAACAATTCAAAAGATCCCCTACATTCGGACTCAACACCGTACTCCGCACATAATAATTTTCCATTTTATTCCCTAATGTAGCTTGTCACCATAGCCGTCTTTTATTATTTTTATTTTATCTTTCATGTTTAGCGTACTGCTCTCCAATGGCTATAAATATTGTTTAATTTGTAATGAATGTTCCATTTGATATTGAACGAAGTTTAAGATTCCTCCACTCGTTCATGTTCTTGTGCTCTTGTTGGAGTGAAGGACTTCTTCAACAAGGTTTGCAATCTCTTGGAGATTACTTACACAACATAACCTGCATAATACTCAGAGTCTTGATAATGGCATGACTATATATATATATAAGATAGTAAATATGGAAGTAAAGAAGCATACACTTCATTAACATGATTGCGTTGTTGTACATACAAAATAATAATGTATTGATACATTATTTGCACATATACTCAAAATGAAGTCATCACGATTATAAAAGATTATCAAATCCTCCCAATATAGTATCTTCTATCTGTAGCTTGAAAAACTCAACCTCTACTCTATGGGTTTATTATCCTTCTCTGAAACAAAATACATATGCTGATACATAGGTGAGAGATAAGTCCAAAAACATAACATAAAATCTATCACAAAATTTAATACAAGGAAAAATAAATATTAAGATTTGTGGTTAAATCAGTGAAATTAATAGATACTGTGAGCATGAATGTCACGAAATTAATAAGTAATTTTATGCATAAAAATCAAAGTATAAAAATCATGTATGAACAAGAACATGGGTAGGCAGTGAATAATAAAAGTATTAGTAACAATAATTAGGATAAAACTAATGGGTATAATTAGGAGTAATAATCAGTGTAGAGATGACATGATTAGTCAATTATATAATATTTATACAGGTAAGCATTTATCAATCTATCAGTCAATTAGTCACTCAATCTCATCATTTCAATATTTCCTCAGGTAAGCAAGGTTTTATCAGTTCACCCTCCTGCCTAGAGTTTTATTTAATTAGCCAATCCATAGGCACTAAGACCAAACCTTCTTCCACATATAATATTTCCTGCATTCACCAAATTCATACACATCATATGGCACATCATAACAGTATACTTAGCATGAAAACAATATGTGCAACAATAAGTAATATTTCAATAATAGGGAATAATAGACATTTTTTGATATGGATGAGTTCATGAGCATTAGTTTTAACATATTAAAATCATTAGTATTTCTTGGAAGTTGGAACTATTTCCAATATCATGTAATGAGGAGAGGAACACATTCAAAGTAAATGCATCTGACTTTGACACATGCAAATTATTTGTGCAATGCATGTCATACCCTAACACAAATAATAAGTAATACAAATACTAAAAATCATGACATCACAGTCTACATTCCTACACAAGATGAAATACTTCTTAAATTAGAAAAAGAATCACAAAAATCTGGTCCAATCCCGTAAAATTGCTTAGGAATGTCAAAGAAGAAAAATATAAAAAATTATATGGTGAAAGTTATCAATACTCTACCAAATTCTTATTCCATATAAAAATATATGACTAAAATAAGAGAAAACACGACGAATAAAATCACTGACTTTTGAATTGGGTAAATGATAACCTACTAAGCATAAAGCTCTCGAGTCAACCTTTAAGCCCTACATCATCATTTTCCCTTTCTATCCATTCTCTTTGTCCTCTCTCTCCATGGTTTAGGTTATTAGGGAGAAAACAAGAAGAAAACCATATAAATAAGGGAGAATTCTTTTAGTAAAGATTGTGAAAACTTTTATAAAGTAAAAGGTGAAAAGTAAATTGGCAAACAATTTAAAACATTACGAAAAAATTGGCATAAACCAATATACTGGCATTGGAATATACTAGCAAAATTGCTTGTAAATTAGATAATGCACAACTTTATAAAGTCCAATGATACCCATATGTTAATCATATAATGCTTTAGTTAATCACATTGTACAACTCAATCAAACTCAGATATATGATTCAAGATTATGCATAAAATCATTTATGGATAAAAATATTTAGACAACAATGATATGCATATTGGGTATCACATGATATAAATTTGAAAATAATCTCGGTAATTCATAAATAAAAAGTTAGCGTTATTGTAATTGGTCGCTACATTTACAAGGACTAAAGTCTCCTCACCTTATAAATAGTATCATCATTGACATCCCATTCATGCACCATTCATGAGTGCAAATTTGGATAGACCTGCCCCATCTTAGCTCTTTCTCACATATTAGTCTTATGCCAATATATGTTTAGGTTATTCTTTGTAAGTAAAATTAGGCTGCACGTCAACCACTATCTTTGTCACTTGATTCATTGCATATGCAATCTATTTTCTCAATGAAAAAAAAATTGAACACATTACAGATACAAGTCCACACTCTAGTAGTAACAATCTTTAAGTAGACTTCCCAGCTTTCTGAATAGCCATAAGAGATCCAATGTATTAGTGAGCTAGAATAAGTCTAGTAGGCCCCTATGATTAGAGTTGTAAATCCAAATGATTATATCAAAGTTCAAAATGATAATATAAATCAAGCCTTATTATTGGAATTTCCTCAACCTTGATGCTCTAAGTCTCATTATTTGGCCTCTTATGGATGTATAAGCCCAATCCAAGAATCGAATCATATTTTTTATAGGATGAGATCATAAGACCCACAAATTAGATTGCCTTGTCCACAGGGTGAGGTTATAAGAGCTATTATCAGGTCTACTCCATAATAAATTTAAAATTATGTGCGACTCACAAATATAATATTAATCACCATACTTTAGTATCATCAAGTTCATTAAAATATCAACCACAAATCAAAAATCAAAATGGCAAGCATTGTTTTTCCTATTTATGGTTTAAGCCTCAATTTAATTAACAGAATCAGCGTATTATTAACAAGCCCTCTCGAATTAATTTAATTAATCATGATACCTTATTTATAGGTTAAGGCTATAAGACCCATTATTAGGCTTTCATAGTCCTCAAGGTCATAAGTGCCACTTATGAGCAATCCAATTAGTGTAAGTCCCAATCCTAAATTATTCAAAGCAAACTTGTCCATCAAATTTTGCTTAATTATTGGGCCTCTCAACGAATACAAGACCCAATCAAAACTAAGCTCAATCTGCTCCCATGATAACAAGTCTACCAATCAAAATCAAATGAATCAACCAAAACCTCATATGTGCTTAAGCACATTTTTTTAATCAAAATGAAACTTGTAGATAATTAATAATCATAGCAAGCCTCTAAGTGCGCTTATCAATTATGTCTAGTTCAACTAAACCACATGCAATGATGGGGTGTACCTCTAAACTATTCAATAAAGAAATCATTAGTATGAGTTAACATCAACCTTGAAAGCACATATTTGATAAATAGATCTACCTCAATCTACTCAAGATGCCTAAGATAAGGCAACCCATAAATGTTAGTTAATCAGGCTCATTAAACGTTATAACTCAAAGCTCTTGCATGATGGCAGACTAGAACCATGGGGATCTTGACCAAATCTAAACTATTAAATTCATATCTAACTATGACATTTGAGCCTAAATTTGAGCTACCTGAATGAAATATGGCCAAACATCACGAAAAATCTAATTAAAATATATATAATCTACCTCAGAAAAATTACTCATGGATTTTTCTCAAATGCATCAAGAAGGCTCAAAAGGTGGGGCGTTTTTTCTTCTAATTGAACACTCAATTCAAAAAATGATATGTTGTGGAACACTAGGATATCAAATTTGATCGCACATTCTCTCCAACTGAAGCTTTTAGGTTAAATATAATTTTGACCAATGATGTAGCAAATCTAATGTAATACCCCTGTGATAAAGTCCCTAATATAATCATATATGACAAATTACTTGTTGGACCATCACTGGACCAGTTCATGGAAATTGTAATGACAAACTCAGACCATTGCCAAGGAATTTCTTCACCAAAAACAACAACAACAACAAGCCTTTGTCCCACTACATGGGGTAGGCTACATGAATCCTTTTTCGCCATTGTGTCTAGTTAAAAGTCAAATTCTCATTTAAATATAATAAAGAAAGATCATTTCTAATATTTTCTAACCAAGTCTTTTTAGGTCTACCTCTACCTTTCTTAACATAAGTCAAATCTAATACCTCAACTTTCCTATCCGGGTAATCAGAAGGCCTCCGTTTAATGTGGCCAAACCATCTAAGGAGACTCTATAATCTTATCTTCCATTGGAGCTACTCCAACCTTTTCACGTATATGCTCATTTCGTATCCTATCTCTAAGGGTAAAGCCACTCATCCACCTAAGCATCCTCATCTCTGCAACACTTAACTTACTATTATGCTTCTCTTTTAATGGCCAACATTCGGCACCATAAAGCATTGCAGGTCTCACCACCATCTTATAAAATTTTTCCTTGAGTTTGAGGGGGGGCATTTCTATCGCACAACAAGCCCGATGCATTCCTCCACTTCAACCATCCAACTTGAATTATGCTGATAATATCCCCATCTATTTCACCATCACTCTGAACAATATATCCAAAATATCTAAAACGTGTACTCTTCTTAATGATTTGATCGCCCAAAGTCACAATCCCCTCATTAGGTCTATTGCTACTAAAATTACACTCTATATATTCAGTTTTAGATCTACTCAAGTAAAAACCTTTAGACTATAAGATTGACCTTCATAATTCAAGTTTACCTTCGACTCCCTCTCTAGTCTTATCAACAAGAAGAATATCATCAGCAAAAAGCATACACTAAGGTACATCCTCTTGCAAATGTCTAGTGAGAACATTCATGACTAAAGCAAAAAGCATCCATGACTAAAGCAAATAGATATGGGATTAAGGCTGATCCTTCATGTAATTCAACTGAGATAGGAAAATACTTGGTCAAACCACCTTGTGTTTGAACACAAGTAATAGCTCATGCATACATATCTTTAATGATTTGAATATAAGCGTTAGTAACTCCTTTCTTTTCAAGAACTCTCCATAGCACTTCTCTTGGAGCTTTATCATAAATGTATTGAACAAACAACAAAAGTATTTAAGTGAATAAAGCATATTGGAAAATTATTTGGCTGAGGAATATTAGCGCCATCTAAATTAGATCAACTAGGTCTTTTAGATGCTAGCAAATAGAAACTATGCCAAGACTCAAGTCTGACTAATTGATACCTGGTGACTGATTAGCAGCATGTTTGTTGAAATGATTCTTATTTTCCAAGTAAGCATTCCTTTTCCAGTTCTTAATTGCTTGCTCGGCTATGGCCTTCGCCTTCCGCACTTCCTCGGCACTAAATTTGTGTTCAATGATGCCTAAAGGACCAGGTTGCAGTACATTGATTACAGCTTCCACATCATGCTCCAACTGTCTAAATTATCAATTGCAAATTTGGGGAAAAAACACAACATCAGTTAACCTAAAACAGTGCTAAATCGCTGGAAAGTCAAATTATAAAATCATGCTTTCAATACGAAAGTATGAAAGAAAATTTCAAACAAAGAGGCGGGGCAGAAACTGTGACAAGTTTGAAGATGGCCGTTATAAGTTAGAATATAAACGTCAGTATAGTCTGATTTTTAAGTTTGACTAAAGGTGCTGTCTGGTTTGATGAAGTTTGATGTAAAATATTTGAATGTAAAACAACCTATTGTGTTTGGTTGGAATGAAAGGCAATAAAATAATTGTGCAGTACATAGCCTTCACAGATATAATGCAAAGTGAATGTGGTCAAATCTGAAGCAATTGCTCTGCTGGAATTTGCTTTACATTTCATATGCACCAAAGCAAACAGCACCAAAGTGGCTTTAGAGTTCATTGACTAGCAGAATTATTTAAAAATGTCACATAATTTTATGGATATTGGCAAATTTTGCAATTGATTGTCAACAAATATACCCATTATGCAACAATTATTTAAGAATTATTTATACTCGCACAAACCAGATCAAAATGGATTCAACAGCACATCTATATAACATTGCATTGTATGGAAATTGTAGGCCATATTGACGAGAAGAGTGACAGGACCTCTCCATGTACTATTCCATGCAAGTGGGGTATTGAATAAAAGTTGATTTGAAAGTAAGTATAATTCGTTGAAAAAACTTTGGAACTTCATCTTCTCAAATAAGAAGAGCAAATCACTATGATCCTATGTGAAGCCTTCAGCAAAAATGGTAACTACTGAACTACTGTCCTCTCACAATCCCTGTTGTCATAAAATCAGTTAACTGCTGATACCAGTCACCTGCCTCCAAACCACCACCCTCCACTTCAGTATCTTTGTACCCATAAGACTGCCATTCTATCCAATCTCCAATAATTGCCATTAAAATTTCTTCAATGGACCACTAATCTCCTTGACCCCTCGTTGGGGGATAAATACTTGATGTTGTTACTGTTGACCACTAATCTTAGTTCTCGCAAACAATCCGGATAATCCAATTCGTACACTAATCCTTCTTCAACTTTTAGTTGGAGTATCCTGAAAAACTCCAGTCTTTAGGCACGGCAAGAGCAGTAAATACTGGTTGTTTCTTCCCCTGCCTACCCAATTGAACTTTCCGGCCTTAAACTGCAAGTACTCTCACACTACCTTACCATTGCCATAATATATGCATTTAAATTTAACTAATTAGACCTTGGAAACAGCTGATTTTAGTGTTATATAGTTTCAGAAATGCTATCAAAAAGGTGTGGAGCTGGTAAAACATCTAAAGGAAAACTATTTGCTCACAATGGTTCAATGCGTCTCGGTGTTTGTTGAAAAGAAACGAATATGTCTTAGGTGTATGCCAATAAAGGTGAGTTGCTTGGGACCCGTTGAAAGGGTCAAGCAGATCTCGTGCATTTGTTGAGACTAGTGTGCTGAGATGAGCACAATAGACTTGTCTTAGGTCGGATATAATAACCAGATAATTGAATTAAATTGCATATTAATACATCATATTTTACAAAGCATTTCAAACTCATAATTGAACATGTTTATTTACTAGTTTTATATCATGGTTTCATGTTTCATAAAGTTTAAAATTGATTTGGCTGAAGGTTGAGGGAGTAAAGGATTTTCACCAAGATTAGGAGATTTTTTACTCACTGAAATAAAATTATTATATTTATTTTGTATCTTTACATTTAGCTTAAAACTCCTTAAAAACAGTCACAGCTAAGTGCTACACGTATATGGTCCATGCATATGCTTTGCACCGTATGTACGTAGATTTAGCCTCTATTTGCTCAGCACAATCCGTAAGGACATGCGCTTCAATAATCAAATATATATTTTTCATATTGCAATTCCAAAGTTTGCACTGAGTGTGTGTGAGTCTATATATATATATCATAGAAAAGTCCGTATAAAGATGGAAGGAAAGTTAATATATGAGGCTTCTTGAATGACCTCAACACCTGGAAAAAACCTAGCAAGCCACATACTTTACTAGAACATACTATGCATAGTTGGCTGGTGTTCTTAGAGAAAACCTGCCTTTGAACGCTCAAATAGTCGAATCAAGAAAGAAGTAAATGGTGGCAAAAGCCGGAAATGGAGGATTAGTTATGCTGCATAGACACGGACACACAGACACAGTGACAAGGATAGGACACGACACGGACAAGGGACACATCAATCATTGAAAATATATGACACGGGCACGAATTAGACATGCTATGATCATTTTTATATTTTAAAAAATGTGTATATAAATTGAATAAGTATAATACAACAACAACAACAACATCAAGCCTTTATCCCACTACGTGGGGTCGGCTACATGAATCCTTTTTCTCCATTGTGTCCTATTAAAAGTCAAATTCTCGTTTAAATCTAATAAAGAAAGGTCATTCCTAATATTTTCTAACCAAGTCTTTTTAGGTCTACCCCTACCTTTCTTAACATAAGTCAAATCTAATACCTCTACTCTCCTAACCGGGTCATCGCAAGGCCGCCGTTTTATGTGAATAAGTATAATATGAAAAATAATTTAATATGTGCTTAAAATGATTAATATTAGGATGTCGAGAGTCAGCAGTCGATATCGTGTATCAGGCATTGAGAGAGGAGACGACAATGTCGTTGAGAGTCACGCATCTATGTTATGCAATAAGTATCGTGCATCAATGTCGAGATGGCATCTATCATTGATATTGAGAGGGCGTTGGTCGTCGATGTTAAGATGACATCAGATGAGTGGTCAAGTTGTGGGCATAGAAATTGCTAACGTCGAGCATTAATGTCAAGATAATGTCAGACTTTAATGTTAAGATTATTTTAAAATGTCAATGTTGTAATGACGTCAGATGTCGACGTTGAGATAACATCGAACATTGTTGTGAAACCATCGCCACCTGTCAAAGAGGAAATTGTAGGCCATATTGACGAGAAGAGTGACAGGACCTCTCCATGTACTATTCCATGCAAGTGGGGTATTGAATAAAAGTTGATTTGAAAGTAAGTATAATTCGTTGAAAAAACTTTGGAACTTCATCTTCTCAAATAAGAAGAGCAAATCACTATGATCCTATGTGAAGCCTTCAGCAAAAATGGTAACTACTGAACTACTGTCCTCTCACAATCCCTGTTGTCATAAAATCAGTTAACTGCTGATACCAGTCACCTGCCTCCAAACCACCACCCTCCACTTCAGTATCTTTGTACCCATAAGACTGCCATTCTATCCAATCTCCAATAATTGCCATTAAAATTTCTTCAATGGACCACTAATCTCCTTGACCCCTCGTTGGGGGATAAATACTTGATGTTGTTACTGTTGACCACTAATCTTAGTTCTCGCAAACAATCCGGATAATCCAATTCGTACACTAATCCTTCTTCAACTTTTAGTTGGAGTATCCTGAAAAACTCCAGTCTTTAGGCACGGCAAGAGCAGTAAATACTGGTTGTTTCTTCCCCTGCCTACCCAATTGAACTTTCCGGCCTTAAACTGCAAGTACTCTCACACTACCTTACCATTGCCATAATATATGCATTTAAATTTAACTAATTAGACCTTGGAAACAGCTGATTTTAGTGTTATATAGTTTCAGAAATGCTATTCAAAAATGTGTGGAGATGGTAAAACATCTAAAGTAAAACTATTTGCTCACAATGGTTCAATGCGTCTCGGTGTTTGTCGAAAAGAAACGAATATGTCTTAGGTGTTTGCCAATAAAGGTGAGTTGCTTGGGACCCGTTGAAAGGGTCAAGCAGATCTCATGCGTTTGTTGAGACTAGTGTGCTGAGATGAGCGCAATAGACTTGTCTTAGGTCGGGTATAATAACTCGATGACTGAATTAAATTGCATATTAATACATCATACTTTACAAAGCATTTCAAACTCATAATTGAACATGTTTATTTACTAGTTTTATATCATGGTTTCATGTTTCATAAAGTTTAAAATTGATTTGGCTGAAGGTTGAGGGAGTGAAGGATTTTCACCAAGATTAGGAGATTTTTTACTCACTGAAATAAAATTATTATATTTATTTTGTATCTTTAAATTTAGCTTAAAACTCCTTAAAAAACAGTCACAGCTAAGTGCTACACGTATATGGTCCATGCATATGCTTTGCACCGTATGTACGTAGATTTGGCCTCTATTTGCTCAGCAGAGTCCGTAAGGACATGCGCTTCAATAATCAAATATATATTTTTCATATTGCAATTCCAAAGTTTGCACTGAGTATGTGTGAGTCTTTATCTATATATATATATATATATATCGTAGAAAAGTCCGTATGAAAGATGGAAGGAAAGTTAATATATGAGGCTTCTTGAATGACCTCAACACCTGGAAAAAAGCCTAGCAAGCCACATACTTTAGTAGAACATACTATGCACAGTTGGCTGGTGTTCTTAGAGAAGGCCTGCCTTTGAACGCTCAAATAGTCGAATCAAGAAAGAAGTAAATGGTGGCAAAAGCCAGAAATGGAGGATTAGTTATGATGCATAGACACGGACACAGTGACATGGATAGCACATGACACGGACACGGGACACATCAATTATTGAAAATATATGACACGGGCACGAATTAGACATGCTATGATAATTTTTATATTTTAAAAAATGTGTATATAAATTGAATAAGTATAATATGAAATATAATTTAATATGTGCTTAAAATGATTAATATTAGGATGTCGAGAGTCAGTAGTCGATATCGTGTATCAGGCATTGAGAGAGGAGACGACAATGTCGTTGAGAGTCGGGCATCGATGTTATGCAATAAGTATCGTGCATCAATGTCGAGAGAGCATCTATCATTGATATTGAGAGGGCGTTGGTCGTCGATGTTAAGATGACATCAGATGAGTTGTCAAGTTGTGGGCGTAGAAATTGCTAATGTCGAGCATTAATGTCAAGACAATGTCAGACTTTAATGTTAAGATTATTTTAAAATGTCGTTGTTGTAACGAGATGTCGACGTTAAGATGACATCGAACATTATTGTGAAACCATCACCACCTGTCAAAGAGAAATGAAAATGAGAATATTCTATGAATGAGTTATTGAGTGCGAGCGATTGTTTGATGTTGTGAATAGGAAATAAGATTTTTTTTTTAATAAATAATTTTTTAATACAATAAATTATATTTAAAAATTCATAAAATACTTATGACACGCGTGTCCAATTTGTATTTAATATTTTTTAATTTGACATGCTTTCAGCATGTCTGACACGTGCGGAAAGCGTATCGGACATATGTCGGACACTGGATGCCTCTTTGAGGAGAAGTGTTGGTGCATCATAAAGGACGAGAACGCCAAAGCCAAAATTAGCAACCACACAAAGGTTTAGGTATAAGTCGAGTGGTCGTGGTAGGGGTAGGTAGGTGGGTGAATTGGGTCAATAAAAACAACCTTGAGAAATTCTGAACTTCTTAGAGAAAGAACTCTAAGAACAATTAACCTAAGAACAAATGGAGCAATTTACTTATGATTTAAAGAATATTGCAAAGCAACAAGAAAAAAAATATTTCAACCAATTTTTATATTGGTTCCATCCAAATAAGTAAATGATAAATAAGATGATCCTAGCCTCTTAAAGGATTAAGAAATGTACAAAGAAACATAGAGCTTGAGAAAAAAGTAATGGATGGCATTTAATCATTAAAATGATAGAATATTTGAATCTTCTCAATAGATTTTTTTAATATTTGAATCTTCTCAATAGAGTTTTTTTTTTTTTGCCTTGCTTTTAACCAATAGAATGGTGTTATTTATACCTTTAATTCACTGTTGAAACAAGTGCAAAAGTTTGGCTAATCAAATCCCCAAGTATGCCATATGGATATAGCTTAATACCCATTGGGATTCAACTATCTATTCTGTCATTTTTCTAATCAATTTTAAAATAAGTTGTCAATCAAGATTTATCTCACTCATTAGTGCCATGGAATAACAACAAAAATCAAATAAAGCAACAAAACTAATCAAGATTTCTTTTAATACCCACAAATGTTAATCAAAATAAAGTAAGAGAATTATTAAGAGTACCTCAAAAGCTTTGGAAGGTTAGTGGCTAAAGATAGTCTTGGAAAGAACATCACAACAAGCTTTTTGAAAATTCTTGCTCTAGGACCTAAAAATGAGGAGGAAATAATTTGAGAAAAAAAAATGGCAGCACAAAAGAATTATCATTTGGGAAAAAATTAACAGGCTTAATTGAGTTCCAATAGTGATGCAATAGGCCATATTTTAACTTGTGTGATGCAACCTTCTTTCTATTTCATAATATAGTGCCAATATAAGCATAGTGAAAAAAAAAAGTTTGAAAATATTAGGACTTCAATTTTCTTTGGTGTTAAATGAATAACTTCACAAAATTGCATTTGTGCTCATATGAATAAGATAAGAGGACAAGATACATAAAAATAAAATACTTCTTAATCCTAAAAATTAATTTTATCTATCCATCTTCTAAATATATCTTCTATCTTCTATTATGCATGTGTTAAATACCTAAGTCTATTTTAAAAAAAAATGACAGTTCCTTTTTGTCAGATTAAGATGTCTTCAAGCTTTTCACAATAACAATAGAGCGCACAAAGTGGTTCTACAAACAAAGAGTTTTTCATGGTTGAATCAGGATATTAACATAAAAGGATGCACAAATAGCAGGTCATAGTGAGTGTGGGTTCTATGGGGGTTGCGTTTATGTGGTTGTTGCTGCTTCTATGTTAATTTTACAAAGTACAAGCACTTCATGTGTATTTGTACAAATTTCTATACCTAGCATGTGAAGGTGTACGTCAAGAAGCTTCTGTACTCAGAACTAACAATTGATATAAGCCAGGTATCTTCAAGAAAAGCACATATGACTTTCAACTTGCTCTAAACATTTCCTTCTAATTTTCAAGCATTCATACTTCTTCATTGACTATAAATAACTCTCATGTCGAAGGCCTCTTAATGCTTTGGGAAATTCAAAATCAAAAGCATTTTTCTAGCTCTTTTTTTCTCCATCTCTTTAAGCCATAGTGTATATTATCTCTCTTCATTTGCAAATCCTCTTGAGGTGCTCTTATGATATCTTGGGTTACTTTCGAAGTGAATTTCTATAATTGTTGTTGTTGTCTTGTATGCTACATTATTTTCTTTATTTTTCAAACATAACTACTCGATGTTTTTGACATATCAACTCCTACTATGCATTGAAGCTTCCCAAAATAACATCTATTATTTCCTTAATATTTTTTAGTGTATCTAGCATTTGTTTTGTTTTCTTTCCTAGCATGATGGTTGATATTGATCACTAAAACAAGAACATGGTATACTATCTCAACCAACAGAGGGGTTAAAAAATTTTTGTAAAAGAAAATGTAAAGATGATTTAGTGTAACTCTCAAGGGAGATCATCGGTAGTGGTTTTAGGCTTGATTAAGAAGCCAAAACAATAAAAATTTGTGCGTATCTTGGTTGAGTACTTGATGTTTTTTTTGTCTCATCTCCCTCAATCTCATGGTTCACTTCACCCTTCATAGTCATCTGCATGAATCAATATTTAAAGCTTTTGTTTTCTCATGTTTTCATCAGGTGTGTTGACGAACCAATATTTAATATACATAAGATCAAATATTTATTTATTAGTTTTTTTCTATGCATCCTACAAACTAAAGTCATGAGCTGGGCATAATAATTGATTATTTTTTTCTGAATACCATATATGGAAAAGAGACAATGGTTTAACAATAAAGGGGTAAGTGATTAACAAATTTAGTTGTAAGGCAAACAATTTAACTCTATTATCACTTAGTGTACAAGGATTTAATTCATGGAATGGCCTCTCTATAAAGCAAGGGTAATATTGTGTGCATTAATCCTCTCTATAAGATCTTTTACTGAAAAATATTGTGGAACAACATTGAATTCTGATTTATAATTAAAACTAGAACATTTTTAACACCAATTTCAGGATGCTTCCAAATTGAAATCTTATTTGGGGAAGCTAGGCCAAGTACATAAGAGTGAGTTTCTTAAAGATTGTGGGAAATCAATACATTTTAGGAAACAGCCATTAAGGTCTCGTTTGTTTCGGCTTTTTTTTTTTCTTTTCCGTTTAGAAACGGAGATTTTTTTTTTTTTTTGCCGCTGTTTGTATGGGATGTTTCTATAGAAATGCTTTATGGGAATTTCATTTTTCTACTGTTTTGATAAGCTATTTGATATTTGTTTTTCTGTTAGAAAACTCTATTTCCTTAACCATTGTTTCTAAAACTATCTTTTACAAAAGTAGAAGAAGAATCAAACGAAACCTAAATCCAACAACTATAAAATATTAAGAAAAGCATTGTTTCGACATAGTTTTTAAGTCATCTAATTAAGTCAAAGCATTACAAACTTGGCATGAATTCATGCAAATAAACAATGTAAATGGTGCTAACACCAATCTCCAAATATATCTCCTAACAAGCTTCAGCACTGCAGTATTCTCCAAGCCCATTATAAAACAAATATCCTATTAAGGGGCTGTTTGGTATCGGATTTACAGCGGGATTTACGCTAAATCCAGCCAAACGGTTTTGTGCGCACTTTAAATCCCGGATTTAAGCATTTACTGTATAAATCCCGGATTTACTAAATCCCTCGGTCCGGCGGATTTACGGGATTTGGCCGAAGAAGCGCGCAAAAGGGAGAAAGTTACCTTCACAGCCAGCGAGCTCCCGCTGTTGCTTCCGATCAAAATGCCGTAGGGAAAGTCGTCGAAGGAGCGTAGTCGAACAGCCACGAAGGAGCCGAAGAAGTGACGCGTGCAATCTCTACACGAAGCAACGAAGCCGAACAGCAACGACGAAAAGAGAAGATGAAAGGCAAACCTAAGATGCCTCTAAGTTATTATTGATTAACTTAATTAATATAATTTAAAATATTAATAAATAATTAAATTAATTAAATAAGTAATAGTATAGTTAGTGTATAAATTAATTAACTAATTTAACTTTATTGAAAAATTAATAATTAAATATTAATATAGTCAGCTTAGTTGATATATCTTAAAATATATATTATTAAATATATAATTAACATTTATAATTAAGGTAAATTTTAATTAAATTATTTATCATTATAATATGTTAACTATAATTAAAATTAAAACTAACAAGTAACTTGTAATTAACATATTATTAAATTCATAACTCATTAATTTTAATTTTTAATTTATAATTAACTTCTTCACATTTAAACCTCTGACTATCATAAATTTTAAAATATATTAACAAACAATTTCCTAGAATTTAATAGGATTTAATATTTGTCATACTTAAATCACCCTCAAGATTTACTAAATCAAAATTTACAGGATTTAATAAATCCCACTTGTTGCCAAACAGCCCCTAAATCAGTATTGATCAGCATTTGTAGTTCAAATGGCTGTAATAAGACAATTTACATATTAAGTAATAAATAAGTCCTCAAAATCATCTACATCCTACAAAAATTGTGAGACATTTGAATTAAAAAAATTAAAATTATATTCATCACGATCAAAATTTCAATTTCAACAACTTACATTCGAGTTAAACGTGCCAATGAGACGAACCCAATGACATCAAGAATGATTCGATCAGAACCTGAATGAGTCCAAATAAGGGTTGAAGCATAATTGAAAATTTTAGAATTTTAATTGGATGATCAAATGATTTTTGAATTTGGCATGCTTATAATCAAAATTAACGGCTCATAGGATCGAAACCAAAGAGCCTAAGATTACTTAATTCCAATATCATGTAGGAAGTTAAACAATGAAGAAACAATCTATGATAGAATGAATTAATATAAGCCATCCTACAAAGTGCTCTGAATTTTCATAATATTTACAGGTATGTCAATCTCTAAAATATATAAATATATCCCTACTCTCTACATGAAAGGGGGGCTTCTGACTAGATATTCAAAAGAGCTTAGATGCTTGAAGACTACTTGAGTAGTCCATCAGAACACTTTTGTTGACCCAATGGTCATTGAGCACAAATGTTCACATGAACTCCATCACTCTTTCTATTATTTCTCTATAACCAAAATTTGTTCTATGATAAGATCAAAAGCATATGAAATTGACTTATTTTTAATCAACGGTCACTTACCCAAAACTATTCAAATTCAAAATTAGAACAATCAAAGGCCACACACATCATTCTTTTTTTAATCCTCCCAAGAACTAAATAAGCTGATATAACTGATTATTCATAGCCATTTTTTGCTAATTACTACACAATTCACTAAGAAGAAAACAACCCTCAGGATATTAAAGGGCTCAAACTAAGATGACTTGAAGATTTCCCCAACGGTTGGCCAAATAGGCTTTACAGTTTGCATTCTTATTTCTTCTTTGCTCCAGCTTTGGATTTCTTACTTGGAGGTACTTTGGTTGCCTTGGCTGCTGCATCCTTGTTACACAAAGAAAGACCCAAAAAGGATCAACAATTTAGAAATATGAGACTTCTATAGAAGAAAATGAGAAATATTCAAACTGAAATAAGGAGCAAAATTCAGTGGATAATAATAGTTCACCTTCCGTTTAAGAGGTTCAGATGTATTTATCACTGGCTTAAAAAAAGACTCCATCCTGAGAGAGCAGGCATAGCATTACAGCAACAATAACATGAACTCGTACAAAAAACACCAGATATTTATTCTTGCTTACCTCCCTTGGCTGCCTTTATCCTTGGCTGCCTTAATCTTCTCTGTCGCCTGAGAGAAATGCAAACAATAAACAATTGCGAAGCAGTAGAAATATGCTAAGAGGCTCCCTTTAGGTTTCTTTTGGAACAGCTTTTTTTCTGCTTCTTAAAATAGTTTGTAAGTACTATAAAGCAGCTTTAAGAAGCAATTTAAGCGGTAAGAAAGCTGTCCCAAACGAAACCTTAACTTCTTGGACGACTGGGATTACAAACCTTGACAACACGGTCATGGTTGAAGCCATTTTCGTTCACCAAGAAAGCCACAAGACCCTAAAAAGAAGAAAAAATCAGTATCAAGATAATAATCAATGAATAATAGATTGAGAATCACTTGCCTCTTCATCTGGAGCAGTCCACTTGAGCTCTGGTGTTTCCAAGTTGACTAAAGGGTCTTTAAAGAGCTGTCGAGCTTCTTGATAGGGCCAATTCTCTGGTATATGGTACCTGTTCCATGATAGCAGTGGATGATTAAGTGCAATTTTTAGGAAAAAGAAATGGCACCATTAGATACTACAACTGCATTAACTTGAAACAAGCAATCAATTATGTAAGAATAGCCAATTTCTGCTCAGCAAATGAGCTTTATAAGCATTAAAACAGCTATGAGAAGAAACAAGAGTAAAAGATATTGAAGTAATGGTTGTAATTGTTAATCCACTATCAACAAAATTTCAACTGAGGTTGCGCCAACCTGGTTGTCAACAGGTTAATGTAGTTAAATTACAATATATCTAAAAAGACGAGCACATCTAAGAACAGGGGCAAGTCTCACCTAGAAATGAAAGCAATGCAAAATCAAATAAAATGGAGAGAAAACAAATTTGAATAAAAGAAAGGGCACAGGATACGATTTAACTAAATGAAGTTAGTGTTTTAAAAAAATGATGATGGCGTTGCTGACTGAAAGATAGAACAATAAATTGTAAATGTTCAGAAAGGGCATGATATGAAAATCATGTCAAAAGACAAACAAGCCAATAACATGATATGAAATAGGGCTACGAACCGAACCGAGCCAAGCCAAACAAGTGCTTGTTCATCTTTGAGTTCTTTTACTGTCAGCTTATTCAATTTTGGTTCGAGCTAGATTCGAGTTTTTCAGTTCAACCTTGGCTCATTCAACTTGATGGATGTTCATATTTGGTTTATATTTGATTCATGTTCAATTTGTTTAGGACTTATCGAGCTTTAAACAAACGGGTCTCAACAAATTATGAATGATCTCTACTTATGGATGTTCATTAGCTTAGCAAACGAGCCTTATCAAGCCTACTAACAAATAATTACATAGAGCCCTATATGCAAATATATTTAACGAGTATTTTTAAACTACCAAATGAGCCCGTTCACGAACATATCTTACGAGTGTTTTCAAGCTACCAAATAAGCATGTTCGCAAACATATCTAGCAACTTAAGTAGGGCTAGGGGAGAAAGAAGGTAACAAAAGGATTAGGGCTAGGGTTCAGATTTGAGCCAGAAATGACGATCGGAGAAGCTAGATCTAAGTAGGGACATGAAGAAATGACAAGCATAGAAGGTACGGCTGAGTGCATCAGGATAAAAGCAGGAATAATTAAATAATATTATAAAAAATAATTGTAATTAAATTATACATAATATCAATTGAATAGATATTTATGATTTATTTTAATTAATATATAGTATAATATTTAATTAATTTTAAAATTTGTTAATTAATAATTATTATATGATTAAATTATTAATAAATATAAAATATTTATATTATGAATATTCATTAATTTTATAATCAAATATTAATCAAGTTTTTAACAAGCTTATTCACTAGCTCTATATCGAACAAAAATCGAGCTTCAAGTTTGTTCACAAGCTTTAAACGATGTTATTTTTTAACATAAATGAGTTGAACACAGTTCTTCGAGATTTTTTATTTGACATTGATTATTTAAAAAAAATGTTCAACCATGTTTGTTTGCTTAATTAAATGATCGCAAACAATCTTTTTAATCAAACCAAGATACGAGTAGCTCATCAAATGCTCTGTTCCTTTGCGAGCTTCAAGTTTGTTCACAAGCTTTAAACGATGTTATTTTTTAACATAAATGAGTTCAACACATATTTCTTCGAGATTTTTTATTTAACATTGAATATTTAAAAAAAATGTTCAACCATGTTTGTTTGCTTAATTAAATGATCGCGAACAAGCTTTTTAATCAAACCAAGATACGAGTAGCTCATCAAATACTCTGGTCCTTTGCAGCCCTAAAATGACATATTTGCATGCAACTATCATAATATTGACAATTCTTTGTTACATCACTCAAACCTAATAGATGTGTCAGTCTAGCATGAAGAAAAATATTTATGATTACTTAAAACAAATCCAAATAGGTAGCCGATTTCAATCTAACAACAAACTTTCCAGATTTATCAAAAATTACTAAATCAATGCAAAAGACAAAGCATTCAAAAGTAGATTCTAATCATTTCAATGCATGCACCTGTCTTTGCTTAAGTTCTCCAACACATTTTCAATAGAACCATGCTGACGGATAAGCTTCAATGCGGTTTGACCTCCGATACCTGCATAAAAGGGAATGTAACGCGGTAGCACTAATCATTGAATCACAATAAATTTACGACAGCACTGAGAGATGCTTTAAGCTAAGAGTTCAGATTCATTCTCTAAAGAGCCCACCATTTTCCAGCAAGTAAATATGAGTATAAATTATTTGGGGTTAGGATAATTTGTCTCTACAGTTCATCCCAAATATAGCCCATCTACATCTAGCTAGTTTATCCCATTTATACGTGTCTGATGCAAAACATTGAACTGGAGCTCCAATTGCACATGGGCTATACATGTATCATTGTACGGGTATTCTATGTATAGCCTGCGCTAAATTAACATGTATCGTTGTACGGGTATTCTGTGTAGCCTGCATTTTTACTTTTCTTTTTATAACATTTTCCTATAGCCCTCAAAACCCTATAAATAAAGGATGATGGGGAACAATTTAGGACCTTTACTCTTTTCTAGACTTTTGGGCTTTTTAAATCCTACCTCTTGTATTTTTTTATTAATATAGTAAAAACTCTGATTGCTTCCTCTTCTACTCTGTATTATCTCTAATCTCTCAAATCTTCATTCTTACTATTAGGTTCTCAACTCACTAGGCGGGTATCATTCACCGAACAATTCTGAATTCAACAACATAATAAGAAATTAACTCATAATATCCTGAATTCATAGCCATTTCATCAAATTGACTATCATGATGCGTCCAAAATGAGGAAATAGCCTGGAAAGCCCCTTCCACCCATAATGATGAACGGGAAATTCGCACATTGCTAACCAGTAACCAGACCAGATATCCACTTTGTAAGGCTTCAACATGATGGCTTAGTCGAAAGTGAATCTCAGGTTCAATGCTTAAAGCTTGATATGATCGCAAGCTGATCAGTAGATCATAATATCTATCAAACAAAAATAATAACAAATCGTATTTCTCTTAAAGGTCATGAAAAGAGATACCGCTAGGTTATGGATTCCACATAAACAATGCCAAAGGGATGTTAAAAAAAGTTCTTGAAAGTTTCTATATTTTCTAAAACTGCAGCTTTCCCAGGAGTTCATACACATAGAGCAGACCCATCCAGAAACAGTTATAAAAGCCTACCTAGGTTTAATTTCCCTTCGGTAATAAAATAGAAAGCATGGTGATCGTCTTGTAACAAACTTGCATCTGCTCACATTATCTCAATCAGCTTTTAATTTTTTTCGCTTTAAAATGTTAACAATATGTAAAGAGGTGTGAAGGAACAACAGTTAAAAAAACTATAAGAAACGACATAAATTCTTCTTTTCTTTTATGTATACCTCAGAGACTATATTTTTTGCATTTCCAACAAGCAAGAAGCTACTCATACAAGCAAATCTCACAGTTGCAACTTACTATCTTCTTAAAAGAATCAGTCAAAAGTCAAAATACCTTTAATGCTGTCACAATAGTCACATCCACAGAGGATGCATAAGTCAATAAATTGATCCATGGTGAAACCTAATTCCAGCAGGACCTTCACAGAAGGCATTGTCAGAATAGTGGAATTAGGTAGCAAGCAGTAAGCCATTTATGTGACAACAAACCTTTCCAACTTCAAATTCCATAACAGGGATCTTTTTAGAGCTTGGATCCATCAAGTGACGAAGAAACTTGGGAGCTCCAAAAGTCAATGAATCCATGTCTTCAGAAGCCACGGCATATACCTAAATTCAACATTAAAATAAAATTTAAAAAAAAAAAGTAATCAGAAATGCTTGCAAGGATGCATTACAAGAAAAAAAGGAGAAGTTTGGCTAGTACCTTATCACTTTTGCAAAGAGCGGCGCACTGAGCCTCTGCTTCGCATGGTGCCTACGAGGACCAAAACAAAGTTAGCTTGTACTCAACTGTACAATTAGGTATTTGATAATCTCATAACTTATAGTCTTGCAATCTTGTTCATTCCTCAGAACGGTTAGTTATATGTTATTGAAGTCCACTATCAACAAACTGCCAACCACCATGACAGAAGATTTAGAATTACTATTGGCAGTTTGACATTATCCTTGTAGTCTTACAAAATAAAGGCGAGACAATCATCTCTTTCTTGCAGCATTAATATTTCTATACATGTCCGTGTGCAACATATTTACATTGCACAAATACAAAATAATAGCAAATAAGAGAGAGGGAGACAGAGAGAAATCACCTCAATTACTGGAACGCCCATCAGTCTTAGAAGTCGTTTGCAATCCTCATTATGTTGCTTTGTTACCTGCACAAAAGGAGAAAAGAAATTAACGAACAAGTATTCAAATAATCTACAACAGAAAACTAGCCAACCCTACGTAGTGGGACAAAGGCTTGATGTTGTTGTTTGTTGTTGTAGAAAACTAGGCATATTGAATAAGCGCATAAACACAAGGGTATTTACCGCAGATATTAAAGCAAAAAATTAATCAAAAACCAAATAAAAATTTAAAAAAAAAATGTAATGCAAAAATAATTGTTTTCCTAATCAAAGAAGCCAAGATTCATTTCTCTTAACAATCATACAAAACAACACCAACATTGTTGGATCTTACCAATACAAGATTATACCATTGGGAGTACCCAGTGTTGCAGGGTCTATGGAGGAATTGATGTACACAACTTTCTCCTATACTGCAAAGATGGGTTTTTTGCATTATTTAAGCCCGTAACCTTAGAATCACAATATGGATAACCTATAAGCGAAGAGGTTTATGCATACCGGAATAGAAGGAAAAAATATGTTCACAATGGCATAAAATAAAAAGTCTTCCAAATATGCTAATTTAAGGAAGAAGCCTTAGGGCCGTATGAAACCAAACCAGATCCGAATGCTATTAAACAACTTGTTTAAGAGATAAAATGAGATTCTGGCATTCCAGCTTGGCAGGCATGCTAAATCACAATATAACATTTCTTCCAGCTTTAATTATTAAGAAAATCATAATGCATATGGCATAGGACTACCTTAACAGTTCTCTTGCTAAACTTTTCAATTTCTTCTTTATTCCCCTCCTGCATGACAAGAAGTAACCTACTAAATAAGGATCGGATAATAGAAAAAAATTACTTGAGGACAAAAAAAAATACAGAGAGATGCGAAAAAAGGAAAAATGACAGGATCTATTCAGAGAGCTTTCTTGCTAAAATTTAACAATCTACCTCTACTGCAGTAGCTAAATCCTTGGTGGCATCATCTCTCCTAATGTACCTATGGAAGAATTGACCAAAAAAAAAGGAATTTCCATTCCATCAAATAACGATTACAATAAACCTGAAATAGCACACCAAAGTTCATACCTTTTAGCAAGCTCCTGTTTCTTTAAATCAGGAGGCTGACCATCAAAGACGTACCTGGTAAGCAACATACATAAAAGGTAGCAAATATATTTTGATATAAAGAGATTAAACCGCTTAGAATTTGAATAATGAAAATATTTGATTTCAGTAATATAAAATAGGAAATGCAAGCAAAGATGCGTTACACTGGCTTAATTCCTGCTTCAAGCAATCTTATTGTGCGACTGAACATCCCTTGCAAATGGCTAACAAAAGTTTCAAATATATCAAAACAAAAAAAAAAGGTCAGCAAAAGCAGCAGAATACCCTTTTCCAAAAACAATAAAAGATTTATATGCCCCTAACCTGGTGACTTCGCCTGACTCATTTGTTAGCATCTCGGTCCCAGTCCTCCCCACCACAATCTATAAGACAAAAAAAATTTTGAAACAAAACAAAAACTTTGACCTTAAAAAATGATAATTTAAAAGCCCGAGACAATCCAAAACCCTAATCTTCCTAGCATATGCCAGAAACAATTCCTAAATGTGAACAACATTAAAATAAAGGGGGGGGTTTACATACAAAAAACTAGCTCTTCAGCACTAGATAAATCAAAACTTCCAAATAATAAGCACAATATAAAAAAGAAATCGAAATAGGGCTAATGTACGAACAAGGAACTGGTAGATGCTCATACTGGCGTCAATGGCAATCTTCCGACCGAAATAACTCTCGAACTTCTGCTCCTTCATGGCCTTGGGAGCGTAGTCAGCCAAAAGCTTCGTTAAACCCTTAAACAACGGAAAAGGACGACCATCAGTTCAAAAGGAATGACAAACCTATACACGGACCTTTACCAGCAGATCAAAACCCTAACCTTTATTCCCATAGTTATGAAGTAATTAGCCCGAGGGAGGCGTGAAGATGTATGGCTTCAAATGCACAAAAGGCCACGATTTTGCGCTGCTGTGAAACCTGTTTTCCCGCCTTTCCTCGGCGGCGGTAAACGGTGAACGGGCTCGTTTGGGACGCCGTCTCGCCTGCGTTACATTTAAAACGCAACCTAACGACTGTTTGGGATTGGGATAATGCGTTTTAACGGGGATGTTAAAATCTCTCCGTCCGCAAACAAATATGTCCGCTCCAACTGAACTCTAATAAATATTTGAATGGTGTAGCTCATGAGTTCCAGTTCAACAGTAAAATTTTTACTATTTGATTACTGATGAATAGTGGGATGTTAATATTAGCGTTGCACTATTCATCTCCATTATTTTTTTTGTCTCTACTCAACTTGCCTAAGAAATATGCCAAAGAAGAGAACGATCATTACCTACGTAAAATGGGTAAAAATGGAGTTCGGTTGGAGATGAATCATATCTCACAGTATTTTATAGTTTCATGGCATTTTGGAGTGAAAAATTTCACTATAAAATGCAGTGAAACTAAAAAATGGCATGATTCATCTCCAATGGAATTCCATTTTTGTGTCCAGGTAACCGTCTTTATCGTTCGCGCGTTTCTTCGGCAAAACCGATAGAGACAAAAAAATAGCAAATGTGAACAGTGCAACGCCAATATTGGTGTCGCACTGTTCACTCGCAACGAAATACCGAAAGTTTTGACGTTTGGCTGGAGCTCGCAAGCGACGCCATTCATGTGTTGGAGTTCGGTTGGAGAAAAATTTCACTCCAAAATGCAATGAAACTAAAAAATGGCATGATTCATCTACAGTGGAACTCTATTTTGCACCCAGGTAATCGTCTCTCCCCTTTGTGCATTTTTTCGACAAAACTGGTAGAGACAGAAAAATAGCGAAGGTGAATAGTGCAACGCCAATATTGGCATGGCATTGTTCACTTGCAACGAAATACTATAAGTTTTATCGTTTGGATGGGCCTCGCGAGCGATGTCAATCATATGTTTGGAGTTCGGTTAGAGAAGGCCTGAAGCATTTGGACACTTGATCAAGAATGAAAACAAAAATTAAGAGCCTCTTTGCATCATTAAGACATGTTTCTCCTTCCCTTCTTCTATACACCATCTGTCTCTCTCTCTTTCTCTCTCTCTCTCTCCCTCTCTCTCCCTATAAGTGATAAGATGAATTCATGGGTAAGTCAATGCGGTGAAAAAGTAAATATTAAATCTCTTGAGAAAGAAATTAGAAGGAACGAAGATAATATTGGTTGAAGCACTGCCGTAAGTCTTATGGGCACTAAGGACTATAACCTTCTCAGCAACAAGCCAAATGTCATTCTCGCCTTTCTCTATTGATTGAGTTCAAACTTCATAATCAACAAGTGGTCACAGTGGCCAACTTCGAAGATGACAAACTCTACTAGTGGGAGGGAAGGAAACAAGAATGTGTGGAGACTATCAACAATCTCTTGGAGGAATTTAGAGTCCAAGCTACCCTCAAGCAAGAGGAGGTGAAGAGGAGGATGACCAATTACTATATTGCCAATGTCAACAAGAAGATTTTTCATCTGGGTAATATAATACTGAAGAAGGTGGATATTGTTGCTCAACAATAAATATTGGGGTAACTTAGATCAACATTGTAAGGAGCTTATATAGTGAAGAAGAAAGTCAGCTTTGGAGCAAACCATTTACAAAAAAAACTCAGGCAAAGAAGTGCCGAGAATTTGGAGCGCCAATGATAAAATAATTGTTTACCTCTACAGGAAGCCCGTTGCACTTAATATTATGTGTCTTGATGAAAGTGATTATAATCATTCTTTTGCATTCACATTCCCTAATTAAATTTATGTCTGACTAATTATACTATTTAAATTTAAAAAAAATGAAAATAAGTTTAAAATTATACTCTTGGAAATAGGCACTCAAGGAACTCGCCCCACCTCCCTAAGTGTAAACAAGGACCTCGCTTATTCAAGGAATGAACCTAACTAATAAGAATGACTCAGCCCATACAATATAAGAGGTTGATAATTGGATAAAAGGCCAACAAAGTCTCTACACGGACTCAAGTATAAAAGAGACAAAATTATTCCATGCAGGCGAGTTGAAACCCACATGAACGACACATGTAGGAATGCTTAGGCTCCTAGGAGAAGGAAAGTATGAACTTAACGAGCTCATCTCCTCATTATAGTTTAGTCTCTTTCGTAAGTTTTTATTAATTAATTTTGGAAATAAAAAACATAGCCATTCATTCTTGCTAGCACATTTCTTTGCCTTCTTTGGCAGGCATGCGATTGGCCCACTCAGCCTTTGTGTAATTAGTGCACTAGCCTATATGGCCACCATCTCCTTCCTACTTGTTGGTGAGCTTTATTTCTTATCCTTACCCTCCTCCAACCTGCATTTGTGAAGGATGACCATCTTCAGTCTCTTGGGACTCGTATTAGCCAGCTTGGCAAGGTTGAATTCAGCCATCCTGAGTAAGCCAGTTACTAGCATTTGGAGTTGGAGAAAAGAATGTCGTAGCATTGTAGTCTTTGCCACCTCTTATAGATGAAGATAGTGCGTGGGTCGAATTAAAATCATAATGAGGAATCTATAGATACCCGATATCATAATAAATGATAGTACAAGAACTTCTACTTATTCTATTTATTTTTTTTTTATGTTTGATGAAAGCAATAAATGCTCGTCTTTTATTCACTTATCTTTTTTGCAACTCATTTTTTAAAAAGGATCAAGTGAATCATGAAACTAAATGTATATCATTACATACCTATATAGGTAATTCTCTAGTGCCTAAGAGGTTCCAACAAAGAGACTTGGTTGAAGTGGTCAAACCTCCAAAGAGGAGAACTCACCTTAAGGGAGTGTGACCTCTCAGCGGGCTGGCTTGTGCCAGCCCGTGAGTTCACAACCACTTTCCTTTAGATGAATCAAATCATAAAGGCTCTTCTTACTATGTGAAACCATGGCGCCATCATCCTCGGCAAGGACCATTGGAGGACATGCCTAGACTAGCTTGTACCAAAGAAACAAATCGACTATGCAAGGCTCATCCATCCACAATAGTCATTTGCAGTCAAAGGCCACCTGCCTATTGCTAAAATTCTCGATCTAGCTACAATAAGCACACACCTTAGATGCACATGGTTATTATTTCCTAGGCTAAGCCAACCTTGGCTTCTGACCATTTCCATTCAAGGAAACTCACCCATTAATCCTGAAAGTATGAATAATGCCTCTATGGCTCGCTCCCTATATCAAAAGGACTTGCCTTCATAGACTCAACCCATATTCAAGGTCACAAAAACTTGCCCAAGGCACTCACTTCTAAAGGCTTATCTCAGAACAAAGAGCCATGCCAAAAGCAAGGATCCTTGTGAAAATCTACTAGCTAGACCACATGTATGTGATACTGTGTAATAGTTATATATATTATATATTATACTTTCAATTCTTTCTAAGTATAAATTTTCATGTAGCGCTCTTAACGCTATAAAAAGAGGTGTAGATACATATTTTGAATCTTTTAAACCGCATATTACATGCTTTGAGACATATAGAGATTCTGGAGCTCTTTTTACCACTCTTTATACTTACTCAAATCTCACTTAAATTTTCAGCTCGTACTTACATATTACATACTAATGAGATCAAATAATGTAACTTTTTCTTCATTTTACCTTTATTATCATTAACTAATGGAGCTTTTACAAGAACTAGAATTCATTAATAAGAATAAGACTTAAAAAATGACATATTGAATGTATTGTCAATTAATGTTTAAATTATAGACAAGTCTATAAGTGCTTCTCTCTTACTTTTAATTTGGCTTTTGCAAATCACTCTTAATGAAAATTATTTAAATTGTGCATATAATGAGTAATATTACATTATTAGGAGAACTTATCAGCTAACAATTAACATGCACCTTATCATTTAGATGCAATAAAAAGGGCCGTATTTTTTTATTATCGAAATAGACATTCTTTTTTACTTTATTTTTTATCACAAAAAAAAAAAAAAACCCAATTAATGCTTAAGATTGATTTAAATTTAGCACCGGCCACCTGAACTATTTCTTAGTATTTTGTAAAGTTATTTTTTATTATAAAATTTTCTTAAAATCATGAAAAAATAAATAATTATTCAAAATTGTCCCAAATGAAACTTGAAGACTTGTTTGAGACAGTTTAATTTCACCTTTTCCAATTTCAAAACTGCAGAAATTTTTCTTGACTGTTATTTCTATATGCCACTTTTACAAAAATATTTTTTAAAGAACTGTGTTTTTATATTATTTTCAAAAGCTTTATGATATTAACTTCTCAGTTAAAAAACTCCGTTCCATCAAACAATAATTTTGAAACTATCTTTTAGAAAAAATACAGAATAACCAAACGAAGCCTAAAACTCTTAAGTTTGTGTTTCTTATAAGGCATTTGAAACAGCTTTGTTAAATATAATCCAACATTATGAATCTTATTGCTTTGCAAAATATTCAAATCTCTTTAGATTAATTCCTGTAATTTCCTGCTCCTCTTTGGCAAGAGAGGATGTTAGTAATTGCCAATAATGTCTATACAAAGTTACAAACAATAAATTATACTCACTCTTTCCTGCTGCATGGATGCATAACTTGCTAGTAGCTATAATAATTGGAGGAAAAATTTAAAAAATTCCGCCATCTCACAATCTCATCTATTCTGGATGATGGAGATTAAAGTTTTATTTGAGACAATTTTTTTATTGCTTTCTACTACAACTTTTAATTACAATTTTTTTTCTTTTGAAAGAAGAGAAAAGAGGTGGCAAAAACTACCCCAACTGAAGCCCAATTCATATTCCTTCTTAAAGTCACTCTAATTAGAAAATCAACCATCCAAAAATACCAAAGGCAATTGTAAAGGATCCAAATCCAGCCCCTAAAATCATGCAGGAATATGCACATTGTTGTTATAACCAATTCAATAATTTCACCTTTTATCACTCAAACAATAAAAAGTCACACATAGGTAAGAATGCTAGGCGTTCAAATAGAATATGAAAGATCTTACAATGGCATGAGCATATGCTATTGCAGAACTGCCGGAGGTGGCGCAACTGTTCTGGTGTTGTAAGATTGGCAGCCGCTGCATTTATGGCCTATAATGTGGAAGAAAACTTCGCTCATACCGTTGCAATCATTGCAAAGGATCCAAACCTGAAAGAACCAAATTATAACATAGCTGAGGAAAAGAATGTCAATGCAATATAATTATTAAAAGGATGAATCAATTTTATATTAGAGTTTCCAAAATGATTCTTCAATTGATCATTGAAGATATTGGTCATTTCAAAGAAGATCTTGATAGTATTCTGAGAAAAATAGCTCCAAGCTTGCTCATTAAGGGTAACTAGGAAGATTTAACGAAGCAGTGCATCAAAAGCTTAAGGGATGCACATGATTGATCGAATATAATCGAGATGTTCCTAAGGATCAATGCATATATTTAATATTTGGATTTTGATAGCTTGAATCGAAGTGAAATTAGATGAAGCACAACAATGGAGTTGAACAAAGAGTATTCCTGAAAGTTGCAATGAAGTCAAAGATATGAGTCAATAGAGGGAGCTATTATTCTATACGGATACCGGACAGGAGAGCCGTCCGGTTAAGCGCTGGGTATCCAGCGGTACCGAGGGGTACCGAGTGCAGGTACTGAGCTGGGTACCCAGCAATGGGGTGACGTGGCGCATTTTTATTGGTGTCCGGACACCCTCTTGTCTCCGCACAGAATAATAAATCCAATGGAGGAGGATCTTATACCAGGATTTTTAGGGGAGGTGAAGATTCCTGAGTCACCTCCTTTACCAAAGTTAAACCTCAAGGAAGCTGAACTTGCTTCTATACGTGGATCCTTCTTCCTATTGAGGGGTTCACAATGATTGTTTACTTAATAATGAGATGTGCTACAAGTAGGAGGTGGTGAGTCCTCTGCCTGTCGGGCAAAATAAGGATGAATGCCTATTAGTAACTTCAATGAAAACGCAAGAGCAGAAACACTGCCTCAGAGCTTTCAGCTCCTCAAGCATCCCGTCAATAGTATTTCCTTGCATTTTCAGTTTTGAAGAGAATTTAAAAAGTGACACGCAAATTACAAAAGGATAAAGACTAACCTTGTACCGGTAATCTGATGGCATCACTGTTGCTTCAATCTGCATAAAAAGTTCAGCTGTAACTACTAAATAATATACATATCTAAATGGACCAAACTCCTAGCAATTTAGATTTGAGAGTAACAACAACAAATAATGGTGACAAAGGCAAAACCCATATTCTACAGTACTGCCGAAATTTAGTTATTTGCCTTTTGAATATATCATCATCAGAATCAACCAATGAGGAATGTTCATTATGATTCTGATGACAAAATAGGCACAACAATACAGCCTAACTATTAAGATATAGGTTTTATCTGCAGAAAATTTATTTTGGTAAAAAATGGCATAAAAAAATACATTCAAATTATCAGAATTATCTTTTTCGCCAATACCTCACAACAAAAATTTTGGCTAATACTGGAACATCAATTAAATTTCCAACATTCTGAAAACAAAACTCAATAGAGCAATACCATGAACAAAAATTAACAAGGGTTCCAAATTAAACATGCACAGAGTATTTATTATCAGCACCTAAATTAATGACTTATCAAGTAAAAGGTGCACTTTTATATATTTAATATGAGTTAAAGCACAAAATAGTCTCTCAACTATTGATAAATAATCAAATTAATCCCAGATGTTCGCACTGCCCCAATTTAGTCTCTCAACTATTAAAATTATCAAATTTGGTCCGCAGTTAGATTTGTCGTTTAAATTAATTGAAGAAGCCGCATGGTTTCGCTTCTTTGTGGGTATTTTAGTAAAAATACATGTTACCTGCTCATCTTCCCGCTTAAGCCCCAGAGACAAAATAGGAAACCGAATTGTGCGAGGGAGAAGCTGCGAGCAAGGCGATGTGCTGCGAGCGAGACGACTTGTCACAAGCAAGCCGTGAGCAAGATGCGCTACAAGCGAGACTCATGTTGTTGTTGCGAGTGAGACGATGCGCCACGAGCCAGACACCGCGCAAGCAAGACGATGTGCTATGACATCCAAACCTCTGCTGATGCGAGTGACCACGAACGATCATGATGAGCTTCGACATTGTGAGGCGGATACGGCAAGCAATGTGTGACATCAACGAGGAGAAGGAGACAACATAGTTCGTGTTCTTTAAATAAAATAATTTTTTCACTATTTATTTAACCCCTTATTATGTAGTGAATTAAATCTATACTATAATTTATTAAATGATAAAACATAGTAATTTAAATAATATAATCTCATATATAGGTGTAATACCTAAAATATCCTTCATACTTAACTTTGGAGTATTTTTTACTCTTAAAATATCCTTCATACTTAACTTTGGAATATTTTTTACTCTTATTTTAGGCTCAAGACTAAATTAGATCAATTTTTAATAGTTGAGGGACTAAATTGGGGCAATATGAAACTCTTTGACTAAAATGGACATTTATCAATAGTCGATGGGCTATTTTGAGCTTTTATTCTATTTAATATTCTTCTTATATCCTCAAGTGAAGAAGGAGAAAAGTTAAACAACAATTATTGCACTGATTACTTGGCTGAAAGGCATTACCTTTGATCTCAAAATAGATGTATGAGGTTGAAACCCATGAAAAAAAAAAAAGATATTAAACAATAACAATGCAAAGAAGATTTACAAGTAAAGTTGAAGAAGTGACATTTAAATCCTTTAGTGCATTTATATATATTCCTTTTATAAACTACTGGGTTTTCTTTAGTTTGTCCAAGAGGAATCTGAATGTTTAACATTATTGAAATAAACTCCAACTAGTAGTTGCATTGAAGAAGCCCTTAAATTTGAGATTTCTTTGGTTTTTTAGTTTACCATAACCATTTGCATTTGAAGATTGACGATGACAAATATCTTTACAAAACACAAACTCTCTCCTACCCCATCCCCACTGCGTAAATCATGCCTCATACTAGTATGAAGATTGTTGAGATAAACCTCGTAGTCATTCCTAGGCCTTAAGTAGCATCGACCTCAACTATGATTGTAACGTCACCAAAAAATCGTCTTGATAAAGCACGAATCTCAAGGCAAAATTGAATTGTAAGCTTTTGAAATTAACAATGGAATCATCTGAACTCCGATTTCAGCAAACCTATAGTCAAACTGTTCGTCTAAAAAATATGAACCCAACGACACCAAATTTGAAACAATCGAAGCTCAAACGGATCCAAATCAAAGACTCGAAGCGCTTTTGGAAGGTTCAAACTACAATTTGGATTACCAAACGTGACATGGTTATGGTTGAATCGAGCGGCTCTACGAAACGAATTCAACGAGCCTAAGATCATCAAATTCTGATATCATTAAAACACTCAAATGTCTGATAAACACTTTATGATTGGGGGAATCAATACAGGTCATCTGATGAATTATTCCAAACCTACCCCGTACCTTCTCTATATTTACCGGGTGTGCAACTCATGAAAATTTATAAATAGACCCCCACTCTCTACATGAAAGGGGACCTTTTGGCTAGAGATTGGAGAGAGCTTTGAAGCCTCAAGAGCTCCAGCACCACCGCCCGGCCACCAACTGTCGTCGGACTTCAACCCGACCACCGTAGGACCACTGCCCGGTTGACCGCCCTCGGATTTCAGCCTGACCATCGTCGGGCCATCGCTCGGCCGCCGACCTCCGTCGGACTTCCTACCGGCCGCCGACCTCTGTCGGACTTTAGCGCGACCATCGTCAGACCACCGCCTGGTTGTTGACCGTCGCCGGACTTCCAACAGGCCGCCGATCACCTCCGAACTTTAGCCCGACCTTCGTCGAATCACCATCGACCGCCTCCAGACTTTCACCTATCAGTCGAGCACCGTCGGACTTTCACCCGACCTTTGTCTGATCTTTCCTCATCAACTGAACTTCTGCCTGAATGTTATCGGACTTCCGCACGATAGTCGCCAGACCTTGGCCTAACTCTCCAAACTACTATAATTTGACCACTCCTAAGTCAAGGGACGGGTCAATATTTATAATTCACTCAAATTTAGTGGAATCTTTTCACCTGGGCGAAGCCCCGTGGTTTTTCCCTCTTTAGACTTTCCACGTAAAAAGATTTGGTGTTTTACTTCTTTCTTTCTGTTTGTGTGCTGGATATCTGTGCATTACTAAGATGAGAAATTTACTCACTCTATCGCCGCGAATATCCCAGCCAGCAACAATGATATATGTCAAAACATGTCTTGTAGCCTTCGTAACATGAAAAATTCTCCAGCAAAATTTATGAATTCAAAGAAAAATTCATAAAACCCGTGTTAGACAATAGTTATCTTATTAATAAGATGAATGCAACAAGCATAGTTCTCATAAACATTAAATTGCTAGCAAATGTGTTTCCAACTTATGTGTACATAAAGCTTTTAGTCGTTTGCAACAAACGATCTTATATTGACACATCTCCAAGTAATGATATAAAGGATGCCAATTTATTTTTATCTTAAATATCTAATGATCCAAAGAAAAGACAACAATCGAATCTTGAGTCTTTTAAATTAACAAAGTATTTCAATACGCTCTTGAGTAACTCAAATCAATATTTGAAAAGCTTGGATTGTAAGTCTCCCAAAGTAACTAAGTAAGGCCAGGATCATTACAAATCTTATACAAAACAAATATCATCTACAAATCCAAATGGCAAAGCAATGTAATCACAAACAACGTTCCAAGAAAGTATTTCAAAAGTATAAAGCTTTGTGGATAGCTACAAGCTCATAAATAACATGCAAACCTAAGATACACTTATCAGCAGTGCTTTAAAAACCGGACCGGACCGGCCGGTTCGACCGGTTCAACCGTGAACCGGTCTGATGGCCGGTTCGGTTCAACTCAAAAACCGGCTTCGCTTCAAACCGGCCGGTTTTGGCGAAAACCGCTGGTTCAACCAGTGAACCGGTCCGGGTTTTTTAAAACCGGCCGGTTCAAATTTTTTTATTATAAATGATTAAATAAAATATTTAATGGTAAACATATATAAATGTTAATATAAAACTTTCAGTTTGTGCTAAAGACAATTCAAATTTTATTTGAACAACCGCTGAACCACATACAGCAACCTTTCCCATATTTGCTCTTGGCATGCAAGAAAGTAAAGAGGTATATAAACAACACAAAGTAACACATCCAAGTGATGTGGGACTAAACCTACAAAGCAAAAAGTCATTTTTAGTTTCATGTAGTTATATACACTATACAACATAGCTTTTTTAACAATTTTTTTAATTAATTTTTATTTTAAGTTTTTAAATAACTTACACTATGTAATATAAATTAACAATAATTTATAGGAAATTATATGATTATTATATTTCATTATTTTATCAATCTTATTAATTTTTTAATAATATTATTATTTATTACGTCATCCGGTTTGACCCCGGTTCGACCGGTCGAACCGTGAACCTCTCTTTCTTCCGGTTCGATGTCCGGTCCGGTTTTCAAAACCTTGCTTATCAGTGATGCTTCGTAAAATGCACGAAGGAACTAAATCATATAAAATATATTTAAATAATACATGAGAGAAATAGATTATATTTATGGCTATAATTTATAAACACGAGCACCAATGTTCATGCAAGTGCATCAATTAACATATTAAAGCATATGAAAGTGTGCCAAAGAACCGTAGTCTTTTAAATTCAATCTATGAGTTCCAGTAAATCATTGGTTATTCCAAGAAGACTATTAAGTATCCCCAAGGATAACGAATAATCAAAGTGTCCATTTGAGGGCCAATCCAATACATACAATTTTTACTTAGTTGATCAAGCATATATGCCAAAAACCTGAGCTCAAGCTTGTTATATTTCAGTTGATCCAAGGGTTTTGATAAATCATAGTCTCAATATGCATCCTAAAATATGTGTTACATTAAAAATTAACACCAAACCAACAAAACTAATCAAGCCACCTTGCTTAATGGAAGATATCATATGACCAGCCAATAGAGTTGCTTTGCCTATAGGGTGAAATTATAATACCCCATAATTGGATCATTTTGTCTGAAGTGAAGTTGTAAGACCCCACGTAGTGGGATAAAGACTTGATGTTGTTATTGGTGGTGGTGTTGAAGTTGTAAAACCCACAATTAAGTTGCTTTTCCTAAAGGATGAGATTGTAAGGCCCAAAATACAGGTCATCTGATCTATAAGATAAGATTCAAAGATTTATCATCACATGTCATTCTAAATTGTCGTCCTCTTAAGCCTAAGGTTACAAGTTAGACCAATTAGATATATCTGATGAGTAGAGGTTCAAATCTTAATGCATGTATCAAATTTCAGAATGATAACTCAATCCAAATCTTCTCATTAAGCTTTCAATGAATGTAAGCCCCACCCAAATGAATTGGTCTAACATAAAATCAATAAACCACCTTAAGCCAACTTAATTAATACAATCAACTTATTTTTAAGGTATGGTTGCAAGACTCATTATTGGGCTTTCCTCCTCCTTGAGGTTCTAAGTACTCAGTTTTTGGGTTTGGGCTTTCCTCTAAGTACCAACTTATTAATACGGTGACACGAAGTCAAGAAGTCCGTTAAATAAAGTTAATCCCTGAGCCTTCCTAATGATGTAAGACTCAATTTTCAATCAAAATTGTAATAAAGATACAAGTTGGGGATACTTAGGCCTTCTAATGGATGACAACAAATTAATTTGAGCCAGTTCAAAGCAAACAAATGCATAAAAACAAATTCATTCTTGGGTCTTCCCAAAGATGTAAGACCAAACCCAGGATTTAACTTGTAAAGAGATACAAGCTCAAACAACAATAGCCTTCTAATGGATGCAAGCACCAGCCTAATTAGCTACCCAATAAAAGTTTCAGCCCAAGATCTAAATAAACCCCAATCTACAATTACAAAATATTTGGTCAAAATAAACATAATCCACCTGAAGTAAAACAACTCCAAAGTATACCATCACATAGAGGAGAATCGGAGAAAATTTGATTAAAATAAACATAATCTCCTGAAATGTAAACTACTCCTAAGTCTCATCACGACCATGAGGATCAAGGATGGAATGGGTTAACTTTTACCATAAAGTTATTTTTCGTAGTAAGCCTCCTAATGCTTTGTTGGACATAGCATCTCTAGAAAGGCCTAAACACAGATAAAGTTTTTTATTATCTCGATTCTTAGCATGTTATGTTACTAAGCACAAAGTATCATTTGTTGGGCTAACAAAATCAATGTATGTAATCAATTACCAAAGTCTTTGTTTGCAGTACAACAAGCCAGTTATATAAGATTTCAAATGGTACTTAGGAAATGCCAAAACTTACAGGCCCAATAGTTTTTTTCCCTCTTTCAGTTTTCAACATAAATATTTCTAGTCTCTTACAACTTCTATTTGCACATACCGAATATAAAACTAAGATTTTATGCATACTCTCTACCTCCATGAATTTTCTAGCATGTAAATTATGTGCTTTTGAAACTCCACGAGACTACTGCTCACCCATAAATGAAACGAGCATGCAAACATACAACAACAACATCAAGCCTTTATCCCACTACGTGGGGTCGGCTACATGAATCCTTTTTCTTCATTTTGTCCTATAAAAGGTCAAATTCTCATTTGAATCTAATAAAGAAAGGTCATTCCTAATATTTTTTAACCAAGTCTTTTTAGATCTACATCTACCTTTCTTAACATAAGTCAAATCTAATACCTCTAATCTCCTAATCGGGTCATTGGAAGGCCGCCGTTTTATGTGGCCAAACCATCTAAGGCTACTCTCCTAATCTTATCTTTTACTGGAGCTACTCCAACCTTTTCACGTATATGCTCATTTCGTATCATATCTCTAAGGGTAAAGCTACTCATCCACCTGAGCATCCTCATCTCTGCCACACTTAACTTAGTGTTATGCTTCTCTTTTAATGGCCAACATTCAGCACCATAAAGCATTTTAGAATGTCTAGTGAGAACATCCATGACTACAACAAAAAGATATGGGCTTAAGGCTGATCCTTGATGTAACCCAACCGAAATAGGAAAATACTTGGTCAAACCACCTTGTCTTTGAACACAAGTAATAGCTCCTGCATACATATCTTTAATGATTTGAATATAAGCATTATTAACTCTTTTCTTTTCAATAGCTCTCCATAGCACTTTTCTTGGAACTTTATCATATGCTTTTCCTAAATCAATAAATATCATATGTAGATCCTCCTTATTTTCTCTATATTTCTCCATCAAACCACTTAAACGAGCATGCAAACATCAACCCAAAAATTCCTTAAGAGATTATTTCTATTGACATATGTTTGAGCATTAACTTTAATGATAAAAAGACCATCATGCCCTAACTTAAGAAGGTCCATGCTAACAAGTGAATTAACTACAACAATAACAACAACAACAACAAGCATTTATCCCACTGTGGGGGCTACATTAACCGTTTTTCTCCATTGTGTCATATTAAGAGTTAACTTCTCATTTAAATCTAATAAAGAAAAGTCATTTCTAATATTTTTAAACAAAATATTTTTAGGTCTACCTCTACCTTTCCTAACATAAGTCAAATCTAATACATCAATTTTCCTAACTGGGTCATCGGAAAGCTACCATTTTATGTGACCAAACCATCTAAGGCGACTCTCTCTCTAATCTTATCTTCCATAGAAGCTACTCCAACACATATATGCTCATTTTGTATCCTATCTCTAAGAGTAAAGCCACTAATCCACCTGAGCATCCTCATCTCTGCAACACTTAATATTATGCTTCTGTTTTAATGGCCAACATTATGCACAAAAAAATAGATAACAGCGACACAACCTTATAAAACCTAATATCATTCACAAATGACTAATAATTTGCTAATTGGGGCCTACTTGCTAGGTCCCTTGTGTTATCCAACATTTAGTTTGCAATGAATACATTTAAAAATAAGGAAAGTTTTATGGGTTTATTAGAGAAGATAAGCAAAGAAGAAAAACGTTAAGGAGCTATAGAGATCACATTTTTTCTTTGAATATAAAACTTTACTAAACAAGTGGGATGGTAAACTATACAAAACTAAATAATCTTTCAGCTATGGCTTCTACTAAAACAGGGATTTTGAAGTTTTAGTCTGAGTTTAATCAATTTAAAAGGGTCAATGCCTTGAAATTTTGACACTTTGAGAAGTCACTAAGGTGATCAGATCATCGTGGCCTTTCATACATGCACAATAGGCCAAACAAATGCTGATAAAATCTTGAATAAAAATAAATGAATGACAACGTGAGCTAGATTTAGGCTTAATTTGGGACAACTTTCTTGCTACTTTTTAAAAGCAGTTTTTTATACGAACTAAAATTTTTTGAACTAGAAAGCTGCTTCAAAAAGTAGTAAGAAAGTCATCTCAAACAAAGTCTTAGTTTAATAAACAAAAGCTTAAATATTTTTTTATCCTACAAAATTTCAAAGTATAATGTGCAGTAAAAAAATTGCAGAAATTGTGAATCAAGAAGATGCGTAATTGTTTCAGTGAAAGACTGAAAGTAGCAGTTGTTTGAATCTCATTTCTTGCCTCTTCATCCAATTTCCGCCAATGACTAGACATGTCACATACTGACTTAGAGCATATTGGACAAGCGTATCTGGTGAAAAAAGAAATGTAAGAGAATGCAGGAACTTAGTGATCATAGCATGTACCACAAGCAACGAATAATACATTGCACCAAGTTACTCAAAAAGGGGTAGTAGGACTTACTGTGAATGATTTATCATTTCTTGGAAACATTCTTTATGTATTGTGTGTCCACAGTTCAAAACACTGGTTTCTTGGAGCGAGTCAAAAAGATACTGCATTGTGGCTTCCAAAATTATTAAAACAACATTAAAAAGGCAGCATAATTATTTGAAGCATGCGAACCTCATAGCAGATGGGGCAATGGTGCCTCATGGAGTTCTCTATACACAAATGTTTATCAAGCAATTCAATTGAATAGCAGGATCCTGCATTTCACACACATCAATAGCATTATTATAAAATATGTTAGAAATTGGCTCAAATCAAGTGTTGCACACTAAAGTTAACAGTGGTAAAGAATGAAAAAAAAAAAGACAATAACGATAATTAATAGCTTTTCTATTGCCACTTCAATTCTTCCCTCCACATCCTAGAGACCTCAACACTCTCTAAGCTTGGGGGCATAAATAGTGATATATATTATTAAGAGTATGAATAAAAATAGTTTGATCGAGTGGTCCATAGGCAATTAAGTTCTCCAAGTAATTTGGTATGCCTCCTCACTTGTAGCAATACATTGAAATTGGACATCCCTCAGTTTCTTAAGATCACAGTTGATACTTTCACTAGTTGGTGTTCTCAGTAATTATTACAACATTATTATAATTAGAACATCAATAAAAATTAAACACAGATTTCCAGTAATAATCAAAAAGACATTTTAGATTGGGTTTCAATATCTCATGCCTCCTAATGATATAATCTAAGATTAAAAAATAACCAAAGGATTGAACCCAATCAAAAGCTAAGCATTCCGGGTTTTGATTATGCAGATTTTCAAAATCGAAGAGCACCATTCTTAAACAAAGATGTTATCAAACCGCAAAATCGAAAAATAAATAACATACCACACTTTTTGCAGTGAAAGAAATTCTCCCTGCCCCCAACTCTGCATATACCACACTCGTCGCAATGATACTGCCCCTTCTTAGTGTCATCATCGTAAAATTTGCACACCTCGCAAAAATACTCCCCCATATTCACGCCACAGTTGGCGCACACTTTAGCCACCTAATATTAAAGCAAAATTGTCCAGCAAAAATAAAACGCAGTCAAACTTGCCATTAAAGGGAACGAAATATCGTATTCAAAGCAAATAAATAACTTTACCGGCTGCTCGCTATCACAAATCAAACAAATCACCTGTAAAAAAATAAAAAACGCGTATCAATCAACCAATATCATACTAAAACAAATATGTAAAATAAAAGAGTATAAACTCACCCTCTTGACATCGTGGCGGCAGAGTTCATGACGGTTACTCTGAACCTAAAAAAAAATAAGACCAGCCAGAGAAAAAATATATAACTTCCCCAAAGAAAGCGGAGAAGAAATAGGTACAAGAGAGCCTCTAAGATTACCGTGGACTCGTTGTGGCAGTGACGACAATGGAAGATCTCGTTGCAGCATGGCGCTCGGATTTTGCACCTCCTCTTGTAGTGCTTACATCTAATCGATTGCGAGAAGAAATAACTGAAGCCTAAAAGCAACAATAAAAGCAGAAGTTTTGAAAGAAATGAGAGATTTGAAGCGAAAGAGGTTACCCGTACTCCATTTTACCAAAGTCAAGGCGAGAGTCGCCGGAAGACCCCATCTCCCGGCTGCCGGGCTCAGCACTCAGCTGGGCAATTGCTGCGGAGCGATGATCAGAAAGGCAGTCGAAAGGGCGATTGCGATTGGAGGAGAAGCATTTTTGGCATTTTGCTAATTATTATACTGCTAATTATTATAGCGGGGAGATCTTGCTCTTGGACGGTCAATTTAACAAAAACCTCCTAAACAATTACTTAATTGCATACTCTTCAGATAGTTTTAAAAGAGACCCCACTGCGGTGTGCTTGCTGCTGTTTTGGACTTTTGGTAAGCTGCCCAGCACAATATTTAAAAATATAATATAAGCACCCGATTTTATGCAATTTTTTTATATATATTTAGTCTAATTAAGATAAATTTATACACATCATTATATATACAAAATTCAAATTCAAGATCATTTAATCATTAGCAAAACTCGCAACCAATAAATTAAGGCTTTGTTTGTTTGAGCATTTTTTTGACTTTTTTGTTTGGAAACGGAGGTTTTTTTTTTTTGTTCGTCAAATCACGTTCCCAATAACTCATTTTATTTATTTTTCTGCAGTTTTTAGAAAGCTTTTTATATATGTTTTTCCGTTAGAAAACTCTATTTTTTGAACTAATATTTTTTTAAACTGCCTTTACAAAAGCACCAAAAAAACAAACGAAGCCTAAATTGAGCTGCATATAATTGTAAATCATGAAAGAATTTTTTTTACCGTAAATCTTAAAAATGATATTTGAACAATGAATTTTTTGCGGGTTCGAAGCTTTTAAGAATATGATTATATCTTTAATATAGTAAATCTTATGATTGCATTATTTCCATAAAGAAAATTATAATAAGATAGTATAATTTACTCACCTAACACTTAAACACCAAAAAAACACTTACCTTTAACTTTTTAAAGAAATTCTTTAACTTTAGTAAAATCTTCCTTTTTTATAATATTCGATCCCACGAATACCTTTTCGTAGCTCCTCGATCAAAGCCTACTGAGATTTTCCAATATTTCAACATCAACAATTGCACAACACCAACCTCATCACTAATGAGACTCTACCGTGTCCATACCTCTTCTTCATCATGAACGGAGGAGAACTTTGTGAAGTGATAAATTAAGTAGTTTCCCCGACATATTATCTACTTAAAGCATTGGCCACCACATTAGTCTTACTAGACTGATAAACAATATTATGATAAAAACACTTGGTTAACTTCAACCACCTCCTTTGACTCATATTCAAATTCTTATCAGTGTTAATTTGGGTTGACGGGTCAAGCTGAGCTCAAACATGAATTTGACACATCCCAAATATAGTTGTCTATTCTTCATATATATATATATATATATATATATACACACTTGACTTGAACCTCAATCCTTCATAAAATGAGCCAAAATATTTGTCTCATTTGTGAATGTTGTGTCATGAAAAATTCATTGTGGCAGAGAGATTATAAATAGTTTAATTTCTTATATTTGAACGAAGATCTAGCGCGCGCACATATATATAAAGAGAGAGAGGTTGAAGAGTTATAAGAGACACCATAAATTTTATGTTAAAAATCCTAAAAATAGAAAAAAAAATCACAGGGCCTAGCCCAGTTCAAATGAATCCACTAATATTTGTTGTTAATTACAAATGATGCCCTTCCTCAGAGAAGGTGTTGGCTCAATGTAGAAAATATATAGCATATTACAAAGTTGGAGGTGGAAGAATCCATTGATATTAGAGTTATTCCCAAGAGAATGTTTATATATTAGTTTGGTTGATAGGACCTAATACGTGCTCAAAAATTATCTTGATCAGGCATGAATCTTGATGCAAAATCAAGTTGGAAACTTCCAAAATTAAAATTGTAACCATCCGAACTCCGATTTCGTCAAACTTACTATCGAATTGAACGTATCTGAACTACGAACCCAACGACACCAAATTCGACTCAATCCAAGCCCAAATGAGTCCAAATCAAGGACCCGGAGCGATGTTGGAAGGTTCAAACAACAATTTGGATTATCAAATGGTTTCTAAACATGACTTGCTTATAGTCGAATCGAGCGGATCGACAAGACAAATCTAACGAGCCCAAGATCATTGAATTCCAACATCATTAAGGCCTTCAAATGTCTGACAAACAGTGCATGATCAAGGGATTCAATATCGGCCGTCTATTCAACCACTCCCCATTTACCCTTGATCTCTTACCTATTTATGAGCCATGCCACTCCATAAATCTATAAATATACCCATCATTTCTCTTGAAATGGGGAATCAAAGCATGAAAATAAGAATGAAGAGATAATGAAGAGAAGGAAGAAGCTCCTCCTCGACCACCGCCGGACTTCCGCCGGACCACCGCCTGATGTCGTTGCTCTGCCAGACCATCACCTAAGGCTCGGACTTCCTCCGGACCACCACTTAATGCCCTCACCTCCGCTGGACCACTGCCTGACGTCGTTGCTCTAGTGGACCACCACCTGAGGTCCGAACTTCCGCCGGACCATCACTTAAGGCCCTCACCTTCGCCGGACCATCGCCTGACGTCATTGCTCTGCCAGACCACCACTTAAGGCCCTAAGCTCCGTTAAACCACCACCTGAGGCCCTAAGCTCCGCTGGACCACCACGAGGCCCTGAACTCCACCGGACCACCACTTAAGGCCCTCACCTCCGTCGAACCACCGCTTGAGGCCCTATGCTTCACCAGGCCACCACCTGAGGCCCATACTTCTGCCGAACTGCCACTTGAGGCCCTGTGCTCCACTAGGACACCACCTGAGGCGCGGACTTCTGTCGGACCACCACTTGAGGCTCGGACTTCTACACCACTTGAGGCCCTATGCTCCACCAGAACACCACCTAAGGGTCAGACTTCCGCCGGACTACTACTTGAGGCCCTAAGCTCCACCATGCCACCACTTGATGCCTAGAGTTCTCCCAGAATATTATCCTTCAACTACGGTCTTTCCGAACCCTATCCTATCGACTATGATTGTGCTGACCAAGCAAACACATATATGTTAGTTATTGTAACTCCCACCATGTAATGCGCAATATATGATGTATATTTGTGACATAAAACCAATGTCTTCTCCCTGAGGAAGGGCCTAATTTGTAATCGATTACAAATACTAGTGGATTCATTCAAACTGAGCTAGGTCCCGTGGTTTTTTTTCCCCTTTTTTAGGGGTTTCCACGTTAAAAAAAATATGGTGTCTCTTATGAATGCTACACATTCTCTCTTATCTGATTGTGTGTTGTATCTTCGTACAATGCTAATACATTAAACTATATATTTCTCTGCCGCCGCGAATACTCCAGGACGCAACAGGATCGTAGTCGGGTGACAAAAGTCGAAGGAATCGTAGTCTGATGATAGAGGTTAGAGGGGCCATTGTAAGACAAATGAGGTTAAAGAGACTTTGATATCCCTTAATTTTTTTAAAAGAGTTGTTTTTATCCCTAGCAATAAAAAATTATTTTACGAGTCATTATAAGTTCAAATCATAACTCGTCTTCGACATAATATACATAATCAAATTAAATAATTAGATTAATGACATAATATTTTATTATACAAATTTTTACAATTAAATTTTTTTAAAAAAAGCTCTTATCTTTTTTGGATTTCGGCTAACAAAGAGACAACAAAGGAAAAAAAGTGAGAAAAAAAGAGGAGAGTGAAAATAGAAACTAGGTTTTGGAGGTCATAGAGTCATTTTTATTTGTCGGCGTAATCATAAAATTTGTTCATTTTAAGGTAAGCCACATAATACATATCTCAACTTTTAAAATTGCATAAATGTTATCAAAATTTGTAATTAAATTTTTATTTTTGTTGTCGGTAAACGAGGATAACTTTGCACTTTAAACTTTCACAGTATAACTTTTTAATTTATATATTATAGAGATTAAGATTATGAATATTTTAAATATTTTTTTAAAAATTTTACAAAGTTTTTTTTTTTAATTCGTGGGATTTTTATTGAATAAAAACTAATTTGAACATTGAAAAATAGTGTTACAATATAATTAATTTCTTAAAATAGTATTTTACACAATTCTAGGTAATTTGATTATATTTTGAAACTATGAAATTTTGCTCAATAGGATTTTATGTTGCTTACTGTTATAAAAAATTGTGCAATTCTGAGATATGCTCAATTATGCTTTAACTACTATAATATAATGAAAAATATATTTATGTGATTATATTATATATGCTGTGAGAGAAAATGACCAAAATACTTTTGTGATTATGTATATGTTAGAGAATATTTCGGTGCTTATAAAGCATATTATGATGTCTACAGACATGTTTTTATACTATAAACATAAAAGGGAGTTATAAAGGGCTGAAATCCTTTGAGATTCTATTTGAGTCTGATAAATATGATATTAAATACTATATGATGTGAATTTTAATTTATTTATGTGATAAGTATTCTTATTTAAATTATTGGGTAATTGTATGCACTTATTATATTTCATAATCTTCATTTAACTAATTTTAAATATTTAGTAAAATGTTTAATAAAATAATTTAAAATTTTAAATCGATTTGTGTTGCATGTTGATCTTTTATAGCTCGTTGTGGTTTTGCTTCTAAATTTATGATTTTATAAAGGGAAGGAGCTTGTTGAGTAGCAGTTCATAATTTGATTTGAGTTTATAGATATTTCTATATTTTAATTTTTGTATAGTCATAACTAATTTATTATTTAGATTTGTAGCTTCTATTTATATTTTTTGTATTGTATAATATTGTAAAAACTTGACTTGACCTGACACCCAACTCAAAATCGATCCGAAAAATTTTTGGTACAGGTTCGAGATTCTGAGTTGTTTCTAAAATCGGGTCGGGCTCAGGTTAACCCGGCAACTCAAAATCAGTCTGAGTTTAATTAAGGTGGTTTCAAATAGTGCCGAATCATACACTGATACACATCCAGTCATCCTGAAACCTTCGCATAAGCTATATCACGTTTAGTGTGATGTCCCTCACATATGTTAGCTCCACTGTCAGTTGCCTTGCACCTATTGGACATTGGTTGTTGCCCCCGCACTCTTTAGTGGCCAAGCCAATCGGCCTTGCTTTCAGTCTCGCACCTGCCTCCATGAACTC